TTTGAACATTTTAATCACAATATTTTGAAACTTTTAAAAAATTTAAATATGCTCATGTAACAATGGTTTTAATATTGGTCATACTAATAATGATTTTAAACCATTGTCCAAAACATTTAATCGAGTGTAGTTGAGTACTATATGTCCGTTTTGAAAAATTCAAATTGCAGTATATGCAAAAAAAAGTTAATTTTTTATTAAATATTTATATTATATAGTACAATATCATTAATTAAAAATAAGATTAAATAAAAGTGAAAGAAGAATAATTATTATTTTAATAGATTATATTAAATTAGTTAGAGAAATATTTGGAAATCCTATAATTAGTTATGGAAATACTACAATCCTAAAATTAGATATGGAAAGTATCCGATGTATGTATCCAAACCCAATTTAATATCCACTTTTGAAGTATCCAATTGTTGAAATCGGGCTAATTTTTTAATTTTGACCCGACCCCTATTCTATTTTGTACTTCTCTTTTACTAATATAGAGATAAATAGTCGTGAGTTGAGCGGTGATATATTATAATTAGTTGAATGTAAGTCATTTGTTTTTTTTTTTTTTGGTAAATTGTAAGTCATTTGTTTTTGCAAAGGGAATATTGGTATTTATACAAATTTCAATCTCTGGTGTTAAATTTGACTATAACAAATAAATACAATTGTGTTAAAAAAACAAATAAATACAGTTATAATAAAATTTTATAATAATGGTACCATGTCTTTACTAATAAAATTTTGTTATTTAATTTTTTTTGTTTACATGTAAAATTGATTAAGGAGACAATATATACTTGCATAATTCTTTCAATATTCTTTCAATAGGTCTGCGTTAGACATGGTTGGTTTGTTAAAAAATATTATTCATATCCGTAATCAAATAATTTATTATCATATATATATGGTTAGTTTTGCTTATTTCATGCTTTAAAAATAATTTAATTACGTTTTTAAAAATTATTTGAAGATTAGTATCTAATTACTTTAACTGTATCAACATACAATCCCGTAATATAATCATCTAATAACAATTAGGAATATGTCAGTAGAATAAATTAATTAGTGTTACCTTTTTTTAAGAAAGCGAAATTAAGAAACGATTAATGAGACAATTATAGCATTAATGACGCAATATTATAAACGATTAAGCATTAAATTCGGCTATGGGTCTAACCCGAATCCATTTAACTATCCATTTATCAAAGATCCAATTTGAATTTTCAGTTATTTTCTTAATTTGACCCGATCCGGAAGACTATTTTGTACTTCTCTTTTACTAATATAGGGATATAAGTATTTTCTTGATTGTGCGAGCTAATTCTAATTTATTGTGTGTTGAATAAAATTGAGTAGAAAAATATAGCTAATGCAAATTTATATTATTTCAGTTTTTATATTAAAGTGTGAGTTAAGAATTATTTGAATAAGAAAGAGGTAATAATATATTATTTTGGAAATTGTGTTACAATAAATTATTTAATTAGATATTTCATAATCAAAAAAGAAAATGCTTATATAAAAATGGATCTTTATAACTTAATTCTCTTGTTGTACGATGATTGGAACCAATATAAGATACTATGTTAGATTTGTATCATACTTTCTAAAGATATTTATATCAAATTTTTAAAATGATTATTTCATTGATTTTTATGTCACATAAGAACATAAAAAATAGAAAAAATATTAAAGATACATGAATATAATGGAAGAGAGGGAGTGAATGTACTTATATGTTGATAATCAAAAATAGAAAATAGAGATGAATTTTCAAGGAAAAAATATAAATTATAATAATGTAAGATGTATATCAATATATCATATAGTCTCTAAAAGTTTCTGCAGTTGAAATTTTATATAATAATTTTTTTTTTCAAAACTCATACAACAAAAATAAACAAAGCAAACAAATTTCATAAAGAAGAGAATGAGAGAATGAGAGAATGATATAATGAGAGAATGAGAGAATGATATAATGAGAGAATGAGTATACTGTATATAAGAAGATAAGTGATGTGAGTTACAATTTCATAAAACAATTATGGGAGTCAACAATATCATAAAAAAAAAAAAAATTAAATGTTAGATTATAAATTAATAAAAATGACACATGTCAGAAGCATAGAGCGACACATGTCGCATTGTGAGGCAAAGTTAAGAAGAAACCTTGTCTTATTATATAAGACTAGAATTGGACCCGCGCTATAGCGCGGGGGAAAGTTATCGGACTATTATTAATATGTTTTAATTTACTAAGTGATACAAATGTATTTTAAGATTTTTTTTCTTTATAAATATATTGTTTTTATATTCTATTTTTTGCTATTTTCGTAACTAATTTTTCTAATAAGTTTGTATTGAATATATCCGAAAACAGTAGCGAGTCTGATTAATACATGAAACTGTGTTAAATAAATAGATTTGATTATGGTGAATCATACATGTCTGTATGTTTTGAATGATCAACTTGTAACATATTGCATTCGTAAAAATACTATTGATTACTCGCTCTACTATATTATTCTGAGTTTAACAAAACACCTGTGAATTACTGTGTTATATAGTTTGATATATAATACAATTTATCAGTAAAACTTATTCATATTATAAATCCGATTTAATCAATATTTGAATAGTATATTTTGTTAATAAGACTTTGTATATACCATTGAATTTTTTTTATTTAATTATGTTCTTTAAGACCCGTAAAATGAATAATTTTGCATACTATTTATTTTTGGTATTACAAAATATTTAACTGTAAAAATTATGTGGTGTGAATCATGTTATGACCCGTTGCAAAAATATTCTGACCCGTTTCTAATATTTTAAATATTCTATAATTTTTAATTTTTAAAAATTTAAAGGTTTCAATAAACATGAAGGGACTGATTTGAGCTAAAAATAATGAAGTAACGGGTTTCTTGTCTCATATCCATTAATCATACAATAATCTAATTTTATTGAACTTTAGTTACTATCTAATTGTAGTTTTGTCCAAAAAAAAAGGTTACTATCTACTTGTAGTACCTAAGTTAATAATGTGGACGTTCAGTAACTAAGTTCAATTAAAATAATTGAATGCATTAATCTTCGATTTTATATTATGAATGGATCCTCGTTAAGGTGAACGTCATGCAAAAGAAAGAAATTGTATATATATATATATATATATATATATATATATATATATATATATATATATATATATATATATTATTGTACATTAATATTCTAACGTACTTGTCACTAAAGTGGTAGATACATCTTTATAACATAATTTTTCATTTGTATTGATTTGAATTTAATTTGGTAATTTATGTTTTCACCAAAGAAAAGTCTCGTGGACATGATTTTTTTTTTATCTTTCGCATGTGGCAAACTTAAAATAATTGAATGCATTAATCTTCGAGGAATAATATTTGATTCCAGAATCTAAATTCATAATAGAGTGAGCTACAAATATGGAATGAAATTTAATTTTAAATAAACATGTATGCCTGTAATATCGTGTCGGATGTATCCAAAATTTTTGGGTAATCCATTAGCAAAGTATCCAATTGAAGTTTTTGGGTTAAATTTTTTTTTTATTGACCCGACCCAAAACCTAAATGTACTTCTCTTTTACTATATAAGAGATATGATTTTTATTAGATGTGTGTGTGAGGATCCACAACAAACTCATTCGTATTAGCTAAAAATCTCGTTAATTTTTTTGGTTTTCAACGTATGGTAATATCCGAAAACGTCGTGGGATTTTGATACTGCGATTTTGATATATAATAGATAAACATAAAAGTCGAAAGTTGAAAGCAAAGTGTCCGTAGCATGGAGGGTACGGCTGGCCAGTTAAGGGCCGCCCATGCTTTCGCATTTATCTCAATTCTATCTACTCACTTCTCACACTTTCTATCTATTAAATTGCTCGTCTAAGTTCTAAAATACGAGTGTCTCAGAAATATATATATTAATTCACCAGTATAGTGCGTTGATTAATTTAGTATGTGCACACAACTATTTGCCGTATTAGTGAAAAGTAAAGTTCGGTTTGCATGAAGCCGTTTGAGAGCAATAAATAGTTGTTCTCCAATCTACTAATGAACCAAACCAACTAACGAAAATGATTTCAAAACCATTTGAGATATATATCACTATAATACTATACAGTATATGCATGCAGCATGCTACATTTAATTATAGAATGAAAAGTCGTGTTGATTTTGGTATGACACGTTAATACAATAAGTTATGGTGGGTGGGTCATTCGGTACGTATGGACCCGTACGGCCTTTTTATGATCTCCACTAAAAAAAATTCCATTTCACGTGATTGACTAACTCATCCTCTTTAGATAATAATATCATTATCCTCCTCTATGAAATAACACATATGCGTATTTATCATTCGAATCCTAACACTTGAAAAGTATACTAGTTGGAGTGTGCATATATATATATATATATATGTACATGATATGAGCAAATTCCGAAGGTGAAGGACTTTGAGAATATGCCTTTTACCATGCTTCTAACTTCCTCATTCATTTACCGAACTCATGGTGCGAGACATTTCAAGTCACGGAATTGTATATTTGTAGTTTTGTACTCTTCAGACACTCCAAATACGTTCCCCGCATTTTACGCCTCTTCTTTTTTTGTTGTTTTTTCCTAATTCTTTTATATTCCGCTGAAATACATACAAACCATGTTTTGAACTCATCGATAACTATATTTTATAGAAATTTCAAAGTTCAAACTATATTTTTGGACTTATCTATTTAATTTTTAAGAAAGCTTCTCCTATATATTGTCTACGGGCCACGGCAATTGGAGAGAGCCTCTTTTCCACGAAACCACGAAATCTATTTATGACAGTACGACTTAAATTATTTTTGTTTTGAATCTGACTCGTCGACTTCTTTAATTCACGTAAATTAAAAAAGATATTTTTTAACGAGTGTACCTAGCAAGTACTACTCCTTTCTAGTTTTAGTACTAACCCTCATCTCTCTCTATATAAAGAGGACCTTCTCACTCTCTTGTCTCTTGAAATCAGCTTTGAACGATGAAACAGCTTATCCGCCGTCTATCGCGAGTAGCGGACTCGACACAGTATAGCCTCCTCCGGTCTGAATCCCGTCGTGGCCACACCAAGAAGCAGGAGAAACACAGATCTTGGGTTCCCGAAGGACACGTGCCTGTCTACGTAGGCCAAGAGATGGAGCGGTTCGTGGTGAATGCGGAGCTGCTCAACCATCCCGTTTTCGTAGCGTTGCTGAAACGGTCGGCTCAAGAGTATGGGTACGAGCAGCAAGGAGTGCTTCGAATCCCTTGCCACGTGCTTGTGTTTGAACGCATCTTGGAGTCTCTCCGTCTCGGACTCAACAACACACATGACCTTCAGGATCTCTTTTGAGGATTAAGACGTTTCTACTGTGTCTTGTATCTTCAATCTTGTGCTACTTAGGTGTATATAGGCGTAGATCTGAGATTTTGTCTGTTCAGAAAACAGAGTTATGTAAATACCTATTCTATATATATCTAAGGTTGATCAGATCTTAGGTGCTTCCCAAACTTAGGGAAAGAGATAACCTCACAATATCAATGTGCGACTTGACTAATCTCCTAATCTATTTATCTCTTAGCCAATCTTTTTATAATAGCCAAACTTGGAGTTATATATGTTATCTAGTATTCCCATGTTACTTCTCACCTACACATCGACAGAACCACTTTCATAACTCACCTATTTCACTAGCTAGCTTTTGTGTTTTTCTTTTTCCTTTTTGTAACAACGGACTAGATCTATATATTTTTTATTTATGATACATGCTAGTATAATCAATCATGATTAAAACCGTAGTAGAAAGATTCAAAACATGGTTCTTCAACCATTAGACTACAAAGCAAAATTTTACAACTCATTTACTCGTTTTTCTATGTATCTTTTTTTTTTATCTTTTTGTAAAAGACATTCTACACTAAAACCAAAATACAAGGAAGTAATTAAACATTATGATTAGTTTATCCTGTATTCTGATACACGTTTGTTCTTTGGTTTTAAAGATTAAATGCCGTATAGTCAGAGTCACCATGGTCAACACGGCAATTCAAATCTACAATATACAATTATATATGCAATTAATAGACAATTTTTTTTTTTGTTTTTTTGATTTATTCTAAACTTCCAAAGTTTGAATCGTGTAATTTCTTTTACACTAGACTAACATAAATTATGAAGTATTAATTCATATTTCCAATGATATTACGCCATTTATGTTCATATGTCTTATCCATAAAAAAGAACTAGGAAAAGGATTAAAGCCATTTTTAACATATATGTGGTAGTCGACAATGTTCATTAGTTTGTATATTCAATATAAACTTGGAAAATTAATGTGTGCTTACGATAGTTTTGCTGAATAAACTCAAAACCAGATGATACACATATGCATAATCATATGATCTTCTAATTCACCAAAACCAATATGATCATCAATTGTTTTTTTCATGTATATCTTGTTTTTGCTGAATTAGAAGATCATATGTAGTATTTCTAATTTTTTTTTTTTTTGTCGAATGTAGTATTTCTAATTCAAACCTTGAAACTTCTCAATTTATCTCATGATTTTTTTTTTTTTTTTGGGCAAGTCATGACTTCATGAGTTTTTACTTGAATAAAAATCAGTTAAAAAAAAAAAAACACACCACAGGGTAGTTTAAATCTACTCCGCACGCGTGAAAAATTCAGCACGTGTCAAAGTCAATCACGATTGAACGATTCTCCCGAAAAGCCAAAGGTGTCATCCCACTGGCTGCGCCATTTCGCCGAAGAGACAGAAGCGTTGAAGAAGATCATTCGAGTCGCAGAGCCAGAGGAGGTGACCTGAGATCACACACTTACCCCCCTTTTGATCATCTTCCTCACGATCATCACCATGTGGAGAAGAATCGTCTCGTCTCATCTCAAAACCCTAGCTACAGCATCCGATTCCGCCGCCGCTGCTTCCTCTCGCCGATTGGTCGTCTCCAAGCCTGTCGGCCTCCATCTCTCCACCAATCGATCAACCATTTCCGCTTCTTCATCTGTGTTCCCTCGCCATTTCAGCTCCGCATCAGGTATCTAACAAACATTTTCTCTGTTGTTGTTGTTCGTTATCAGATCTTGCGTTTGATTGCTTTATATATGTGTTGTGGATTGAACATATCCAAATCAAAACAGTGCGATAATATTTTGAATCTGGATTTGGTACCAGAGATATAGTTAATGCGATGTCAACATCGATTTTGAATGAATGCTTTTGTTTCTAGTTAATTAAATCTGAAGGCTCTGTCTCAAGTTGTTTGCTAAGTATTAGAAGAAGAAGATTAACATGTTTAAGATGGTTTTTGGTTTCCATAGATTTTGTGTTTTTCTCTGTACTCAAGGCAAGGCTTGTCATTGTGTTTGTATCTTTCAGCAGAAACATCTGTGAAGAAGAATGTGCAGGATGTAATGCCTATCGCAACTGGACATGAGAAAGAGGAGCTTGAAGCTGAACTTGAGGTGATTTACCACTTATGTTTATTGATTTCTGGCAGTTTTGTGTGATCATGAGTGTCTGTCTCTTCTATATAATAAAATGCTCCTCTCGTATGTCCAGGAGTACCAATGGATCATATTTGACTTTGATTTTTTATAGCTGATTGGTTCTAACCAAGGGAACAAACTTAGTTTTGAATTTGTTATGTTCTCTGCTTGTAGGGAAGGAGGCTGCTTGACATCGATTACCCTGAAGGTCCTTTTGGTACAAAGGTTAGTCGATTTGTAGATCATGAGGAAAAATGGTGTTACTTTTATTATCTTAGCTCAACTTTTCTGTGAAATTTAAATTCATCCGTATTTCTAGGGAACATGTCATGTTTACATTTGACAGTGTACCTCCATCAAGCGTATCCACACATAGTCCAGTTAAACCGAATTAGGATAATTGGCGTAGTCTAGATGTTCCTGTGACCATGGAACAGCATGATCAGATCGTTTGAAACGTAATGTCTGGTCATTGTCTTTGAATTGGTTCTGGCTGTTTTTTGCGCCTATTTGGATCAACTTTTATCCTCTGATCTTTAGGGAGTTTGGTTTTGGTCTTTTTATATACCTTTCAACTGAGCTCCAACTAGTATTAGTCTTTGCGGAGTTGATCACTTCTCCTACATGGTATTTACCCTTTAGAATAGTTCTGATAGCATGGTTCCCATTTTTCTATAATTATTGTTGTGGAAGGACTGCTTAAGTTTAGTAACTTTATTTCTAACTGTGTGGTGGTAGGTTTATGATATATTCATTAGAATTAACGGTATTTGAATGGTTTGACTTGGTTACCTAACAAGGTTTATGATATATTCATTAGAATTAACGGTATTTGAATGGTTTGACTTGGTTACCTAACAAGAGACCTTCCTTACTACTCATGACTCCTTATATGATGATGACGAAAATTCTAAAGTCAATACTTAAGTGACTTATTATGTGGCTAACTTAGATCCCTATATGCTTATAATTGGTGAAATCATCTAAATGATTTATTAGGGTAGCATAACTGTAATTTAACATAGTCTCGATATATGTGATGTGCTATTACCTATTATGACAGATTCTTGGTAATTTTTGGTTGTTTGTTTAATTAGTACACTTCACCAGTATGTGACAAATTCTGTATTTTAACATAATCTTGATATATATTAGCATTACTGTATTTAAGAGGTCATTGAGTTTAGTGTTATGACTCATTCTTGGTAACCTCTTGATTTTAAAATCTACAATTTCCAGGAATCTCCCGCTGTTGTAAAGTCCTACTATGACAAGAGAATTGTCGGATGCCCTGGTGGTGAAGGCGGTAAGTTATCATTTGGATGGCATATTCTAAGTAGTTTTCCTTAGTCATTTGTTCGTTAAACGCTGATGATTGTTTGTTCCATTTACCAATCAATTGTTGTGTTCTTTTATCTCCTGATAATGCAGAGGATGAACACGACGTAGTATGGTTCTGGCTAGAGAAAGGAAAGTCATTTGAATGTCCAGTGTGCACTCAATACTTCGAGGTTAGCTTTCAATACTCTTAGAAAATTTAACTTCCAAATTGCAAGAGCAAGTGTTGGTGAAGATCTTTTTCTAAAACTTGGTTGATGTGTTGTTTGGCAGCTCGAAGTGGTTGGTCCAGGAGGACCACCAGATGGTCACGGTGACGATGAAGACCACCACCATTGATTCGTCGAGTCCTTTAAACTCAACCGCGAACTATTTTCTTCTATATTAGTGTGAGTGGAATAAATATATCTCGTTGGTGAAAACGCTTGAATATGTTTTTTTGGATCCTCGAGAGGACATCACCACTTTTATTTGCCTCTAGACTCTTAACCCTTTTTTTTTGCTTTAAAATAATCACTTGAGTCCAGAATCATTCCCTCTTTTTTGGAATTATAATATATAGTTTTTGGTGTTCACGGTGTGTATGTGTTTTGTGGTTGAAAAGTGCATTAAGAGCATATGTTAATGTTCTTCCCCCCTAAATCCAATTAGTCTTGTCGGTCCATGACGACCTACCGATTATTTCATAATAGCCCAATTAGCTAATACGGCTGTCGTTAATTCCTTTGACATTTGGCCTTAAATTATATCATTCCTTTACTTTGGGACTCTCTGATCAGTGACCTTAATCTTTTTTATTTGATTTTATTTATCTAAAGTCTTCTATGTATATAATATTTGATTTATGATATGTATCGGAGTAAGAAATAACGTGTGTATAAAGGAATAACGAAAACTGCCTCAAAAAAAATAAAAAAATTCCTTAGTTTACAAAATATTATGCACCGCTCATCGTTCAAAAACAATAACACCTCTAGTATCGCAATGAAGCCAGATTCGATATTATGTTTTATATATTTTTTGTTTGTTTGTTTTGGGAATAAGACAAACGAACGAAGATGCTCGAACCAAACAAAAATAAAGAATATATATAAAGGAAGAAACACGATTTCCTTAATTGGTGAAGTACTTAATTAAACAAACATCCAAAAATATTTTCTTATAATAATACCCAAAAATGGGAATATGAAAGAACAAGAACATACGACGTTAACATCATAAAGCCGTTTTTATTCTCCAATACTACAAAGATGTTATTCCTAAATATATATATATATATTTTTTTTGCTTATTTTTTCTAAGGCTGAAAACATAGTTTGGGTTTGAGTTTTGACAAAAGGTTTAGGTTTATGTCCTATAATTCTAAATCTAATACATGTTACGAGATTAGGTTCTAAATTGAACGTATATAGTGATCATATTTTCTACCTAACACGACTAAACGAGTAACGTTCATACGATCTTGAGTTATTTCCATTGTTTATGTAAAAATTACAAATTGTGTTTGTTCTTGCAATTGTAGAATTGTATTTGTAGGGAACTATATACATTATTTCTTTAACCAAAAAAGAAGAAGAAAAAACTACATACATGATGAATCTAAAAAACAAAAAAAAACAACAAACATTTTTGGTAAAAAGCTTTTCCTTTTTCATTTAGAATATTTTTTGTTGCCACCGTATGAACCCAAAACAAAACCTACCAAGAAAATATAGAAATGTCATTGTAGAACCGATTCTACCAAAAAAATAAAATAAAGGCTAATAATAATAACATAAAAGAAACAATCTTGAGAAAACGAACGTTGGAGTTTCTATTCCCTTTCTATTTCAGACTAATATATATACCTTTCAAGTTCTACACAGCTTGCTCTCATTATATATTAACAATCCTTTTCATACATGAACCTTTTTATTTATTTTGTTCATATGAATCTTTTTGAAAGTTTCTACCCTAACTCGGTAATGTGTGTTGGTCTAATAGCATTGCTGCAAACACACATTTGGTTGTTGTGCTTGGAGTGCTTTTGCATTCTTTTGTTAATCTACGTATACGATTTTAAATCTTAATCTAAGCCAAAGATGCAGAATAGTACTTAAATCTTAAATCACTAGAGGACTCTAGATTAATATAATTATATTGTTCGTGCATAAGTAATAACTTTCTTTAGCTTTGGATAAGTTTTTTTAAATTGGTCTAGAAAAACGAATTAAGCATATAAAATTGTAGGAACCCTAGCTACGTTACTTTGGTTCACTAACGTCTACTCAATAAAGGTAGTTAAGACATATACTTAGCATAAAAAATTAATACTCTTAATTATTGTAAGTCACACATCTACAATTCTAAACCTACACATTACAAAAAAATATACATAATTAAACGTTTTGTTATATATAACTTCTCAAAATTTTTGGCTCGCCGTAATCATATAATGTTATTTCCATATGCTTTATAAATGTTGAAAACAAAATTGAACAAAGAGTAAGAAAAATCTTAGTAATATGAGAAATTTTGAGAAATACATAATGTACGTCTTTAATTAATTAAGTCTATAATAATATTAAGTTTTATCATAATCAGCATAATTTAAACGCATAAACTTACAATGGCCTTAATTAATTAACCCTTTAACCCTACGAACAAGCAAAACACTGTACACCTTTAAAATACCATTAACGAGTATAGAATTGTAGTGCCAAAACGCATCTCTCATCTGTTATATCAAATTTAATTAATACAATGCCCAATAAATTAACATAATTTATGTTAGAATATAAACTTAAATAAACGTTTAACTCAACTTTTCTTATTTCGGCTGATTCTACACTCCAACTGACTATATTTTTTCTCTATTAAGATAATGGTTGGGGGTATAAACAGAGTTGACTAAGTGAAGATAACACGATTACACGAAAATAAAATGTTTTCACTATACAAATATAAATTAAAATTGCAAATTGTTTGACCTTTGTAAGAAAATATTATTAATCTGATACCGCCATCTTTAAGCATAAAAGTTTAATGTCGTATTCCACTAGCTAGTGTTTGATAAATTTTAGTCAACCAAGTCCATTTCTATAATCATTTTCACTTTCAGCTAACAATTACTATCATATTTTAGAACCATATGTTCAGATAGTAATCATTTCGTAAAATCTCTAGGAGATTTTTGCGACTATTAGAAATATATAATAAAAAGACCAAACAAGCACTTTCATAACAATTTCTGATTTCGATTAGAACAAATTCTTGTACTGACCCACCCAAACTTATCAATCTATAAAATTTGGGAAAACTGAAATGATGGGTGATTGGGCCATGAAGAGTGGATACTATAGGTGACACATGCATTGTGGTGCATGTGCTCAGACCCACTCACCTTTCCCATTATTCCTTTTTCAGTATTACTTCTCCTTTCTATATGTATTTGATGATCAATTGTGTAGGAAATAAAAGTTATAAAACTAAAACCATATAGATTAATTCTTGGGAAAGTATAAGAACTAACTTTTATTAATTAAGGTTTATTTCTGTTTTTCCCTCTATTGCCAATATATAAATTGCGGTTATGATATTATTGTAAAGTTAAATTTAGATTTTTGTGAAAAAGTTTAAAAGTTTTAGTGGAGTTCAAAACAATGGTTGGGGTTAACCTTTTTTTATTTATTTCACTATTATAGAGCATAAGTTTAAAATATAAATATTTAAACAAAGAAGATAAATGGAGTTTTTACTGGACATACACCAAAAGCTTGTACAAGTTTCATAAAATTTTATGAAGATTTTAAAATTTTGTAAGAAGTTATATTATTTGTTTATAAACTTTTAAACATTCTACAAACTTTAGAACATTTGTAACAAATTGATTTTTTTTTTTTTTTTTGTGTGTGAAAATGTGGATTTATTATAATATTTAAAAACATGTGTATGAAATGGGCTCCTCAGTACCTGACGCACCTGTACAAAGAAACCCAAAAAGATTTGAATCTATTGGTGGGCACAAGGCAATAACCATTATCAATGGCAAACAGAACACAGCAATGAACAAATCGTTGAAACTAGATCATAAAGATTTGTGTCTTTTTCTTCAATATCTTCTTCACCCCACCTGAAAAAAATCCAGGTTGGTCTCTTACAATTTTTTTTTCTATACTTGTCATCATTTCGGTAGATCCAAATCTTTATTATATATCCAATAACCATTAGCTAAAACCAAAACCCTTAATTACAAATCCAAACTTAGTTTTTGTTTTTGTTTGCAAGATTTTCTTACAAAGCTTTTGGAGCTTTCTGGTTAATGGGTATCAATCAATCATCTAAATTTTTATTTTGTTTTCACAAATAATTGATTGAAATATATACGAAATTTTGTCTTCTTTTACATTTTTGGATTATGCCTTAATGTTTTAGGTAAATATTATAGATTGTTTATATATAGAAATTAATATTCTTTTATAACAAAAAGTTTTTTTTTCTCCACCACTGCCAAACACAAGGCATTGATTCTCTCTCTGTTTCTTGTTACCGCTAGCTAGCTCTCTGCTGTGGTTTATTTATTTATTTATTTTCCTATATTCGTTGTGTTTGCAAAAAGATTTATTTCTTTTGTTGTTTATAGAAAATTACTGATTTTTTCTTTTTTACATTTCTTTAATCTTATTTAAGCACTTCTTTTTCCATGGATGCATCCTCTATACGTCTATGGTTGTCTCCTTTCATTCCCTTTCGAGTAGTTTTGGTTAGCTGTTGCACACATTGAAGCATCTCATAGTGAATGATTCAGATTCACTTCTTTTCTTTTATTCCACATTTCCACATCAACGCCTTTAAATTTGGTGTATAAATACCCCATTGCCTTCTCATATTTTTTAGCATCATCTCTTGTTTGTGTTTTGAATCTTGAAAGCTCTCTCAGAAGTAAAACTACAAAACCTTTAGAGGAGACAAATACACTTGAACAACAAATGAGTTATTCTCGTCAAAGCATGGCTTCTGGTTTGTTATTTTTGTCCCTTCTTGGTTGTTCATATATGTTAGTGCGCCTTCTTGTTGTGATCAAATTTTAATCATAAGATAGATTCCATAGATTAATTTGGGGTTTGGCTTGAAGGTTCTCTTGTTTTCTTTTAAAAAAAAAACAAAGATATTTTTTTGCTTGAAACTTGTTTATGACTCTGTCTTTGGTAAATCAATATGAAGGTAGTAGAAATGCAAGGGGCTACGAATTTGGAAGGACTTATGTCGTGAGGCCTAAAGGAAAGCATCAAGCCACTCTAGTTTGGCTTCATGGTCTTGGTGACAATGGGTCTAGGTAACACTCTTCACATGGCTTCTTCGTAGATATTATGCTTCGTTCTTTTTTTTGTCTTAGAAGAACCAATCAATTAAACTAAACTAAACCTGGTGACCAAAAAAAAAAAACTAAACAAACCTCTTGAAGCTTAAACTCCTGCGTGGTGCTCGCTCTCCTCGTCTTGAAGTATTAATATTTTCAGAAAATAAGCTTAACTTTTGGGTATTTAAATGCTAGAAAAGAAAAGGTTTTCGAAAGTTGAATTTTGGCACCTTCTTTAATACCAATCAATTTTGTGCTACTTCTTTTTTGTTTTTTTTTTTCCTTTTTAAAGTTTGTTATAATTAAAAGATATTTTCCATATACCTTTCCTCTCAAATGTCTTCTCTTATGGGGGATATATTTAGTTTAGTACATCAAAGTTTGTAATCTAAAAAGAAAATAAAATTGTATATACCTTATTCACTTATTAGTTCCACTGCTAGAAGAGAATTAACAAGACAATATTTTCTCGTCTCATAATGAAAAAGAATATTCCATATACTATATATATTGTGTATTAATTAAAGCAAACTCCTATTTGAAACATTTTCTCACCTTTGTCTCTGTTTTGCTACAGCTCATCTCAGCTCATGGAAAGCTTACGTCTTCCAAATGTAAGAATCTGTGAGAAAAAAAACATGTTCTGTAATAATTCAACGAGTTAGTGTTTTTTTTTGGGTCACATTACATTATATTGAAGTTTCTAATATAAGCATAAATGCTATTTGCACAGATCAAATGGATTTGTCCAACCGCTCCTTCGCGTCCTGTTACAAGTCTTGGTGGATTTACCTGCACTGCTTGTAAGATCACTTCACTCCTTTGAAAAACTTCTTTGTTGTCTAGAAACTGGAAAAATGAATTAACGGTAGTACTTACACTATAATCAGGGTTTGACGTCGGGGAAATTTCTGAAGACGGCCATGATGATTTTGAAGGTTTAGATGCATCAGCTTCACATATTGCTAATCTTTTGTCCGCTGAACCAGCAGATGGTGAGTAAGCCAAAATCATCTAAATCTGAATATTCAATAATGCAGTATGCATCATCATGCACACCAATCTTAATTTAATTAGCTATAAATTATTGACTTGCACTTGTGATTTTTGATATATAGTTCAAGTGGGCATAGGTGGTTTTAGCATGGGAGCAGCAATATCTCTCTACTCCGCGACTTGTTATGCTCTTGGACGTTATGGAACTGGCCATGCTTATCCTATTAACCTACGAGCTGTTGTAGGACTCAGCGGCTGGCTTCCTGGTTGGAAGTAAGTCACTCTTCATGCCCTTATGGTTATATCAAACTTTGTTTTCATTTTTAACTTAATGTTGCGTACGTACGTAGTCTTTGTTAATGTTTTTCGTATTTACTGATAGAAGCCTAATAACTTTGTAGGAGCTTAAGGGGTAAAATAGAATGTTCATATGAGGCTGCAAGGCGTGCTGCATCGTTACCAATCATACTTACACATGGGACTTGTATGTGTAAAACAAGTCTCTTTTGTAAAATTTATATTCAGTTTTTCTCATTAAGTAATTCATGTCCGCCGTAAGCTGACCTTTACCGATCTTTGTGTGTGGCACAGCCGATGATGTGGTTCCTTATAGGTTCGGAGAGAAGTCTGCGCAGTCTCTTGCCATGGCTGGATTTCGACAAGCCATGTTTAAACCATATGAAGGGTAAGTAAACTTCAATGAACACAATAATGATTTGATTTAATCATTTGTCTGAACATTACTTATAAATAGTTTTGGGGCTATGCTAATGTGCAGACTTGGTCACTATACTGTTCCCAAAGAAATGGATGAGGTTGTTCACTGGCTCACAACGAGGCTCGGGCTTGAGGGCTCGCGCTAAAATTTTACAAAACTACGATGCATCTAGCTATATATAGAGGCGATATGGTCGAGTATAAGATCACAAATAATAACTGGGAACGGAAAGGCATTGGTGGAAAGCATGAATGAAATTAGTGTAGACTTGAGATATACTAGTAGAATGTATGTATAATGGGTTGGGTTTCTTGGGGTATATATATATATATTTATTGTTCAGTGTTCGTTTTTTTTTTTTTTTTCTCGTTGTGATTTATTTTGTCGTTTGTTCTTTTCTCATTGTTGGATTCTTGATTTTGAATAAAGGGGGTTTTATTATGCTTTTTGTTTTCGGATTTTCCAAGTTCTCTTCATATCAAATCCAAAGACAACATAATTAGCCACATTGGTTGACTCTCAAAATAATTTATAGAGTATTTTAGTTTGCCGTCCGTTTTAATATTCAAAATATATATCATTGTATCCGTCATACACTATAAGAAATAAATTCTTACACAAGATATTACCATACACTAAAAAATCAAATTTAGAATATCAAGTGCAGAGTATTGTACTTTTTGTTGTTGCTATACTCTCGATCCATAGATACTTAAAGGGTAGAAGCAAGACGTTGATCTTTCGGTGTTAGAACCCCTTCAAACCACATATCAGCAATAGTCATTGTAGGATTAATAATCGGGCCAGAAGCTAGCCTAGGAGGAAGAGTAGGGAGGCAAGGATCAGACCAGATTTTTGTTTATTTACCAATACCAATACGCACCTGAAGCCCTTGCTGTAGGAGAGCCTTGCTCTCTTGTATAGAACACCACCCATAAGAGCCATAATTCCATGTCTTAGCGTGAATAAAAGTAGAGGTAAGAAAGTATAAACCTTTATGAAGCCGAGATAGTAAGGAATTAGGATTCGTAAGGATACGCCGTGCTTGATTTCGAAGGAGAGCTTTGTTAAACAGAGGAAATCTTGAAAACCAAGGCCACCTTCTCTTTTTGGTAGAGTCATTCGTTTCCAAGCAACCCAAGAGATCTTTCTACTACCATTAGCTTTACCCCACCAAAAAGAGGAAACAATGCTTGTAATCTCGTCACAAATCGTCAGAGGTAAGAGAAAACAATTCATAGAATATATCGGAAGAACCATAGCAACAGACTAATTTATTTTCTGACCCGAAGCAGCCTCTTATCTATCAAATAGAGAAGCCAGAAACTCACATTCTGCAGTTATAGCTCGACACAAAAACAATGAATCATCAGCAAAAAAAATATGCGAAATCGTTGTGCAGGAACTTGTAATTTGCATTCCATGAATTTGACAATTAATCTTGGCTTTCTGAATAATATATCAATCGATTTATATAATGTGAATCACATATATACTTAGATTTTTCTAGATTTCTTTTTTTTTCTTCTTCGATTTTGAGAGGGACATTAAATATAATGTATGAATAATAACACATTACCATATAAATAAGGACTATATAACAAAGTAAAAAGAGTATAGAAATCAAAGAATATAAACATTAATTGGGAAAAATCCTAAAAAGCACCCTATATATTTTTTATTTGGACGTTTAATACCTAATGTTACTTTCTTGGAAGAATAATATCTGAACAAATAAAAATATGCAACTTAATACCTAGAAAAAATAAATATCGCTATTTACATACCCGCGTTCTCATAACAAACAAAAAATTCAGATTTTACCTTTAGTCATCTTTATATTAGAAAATAATAATAATTAAATAAATAGAAGATAAAAATAAGAAAACTTTTGATTCCTCCTATTCAGCCGGTATTTTATCTCCAGTGATATTTCGAGAAGTCTATATCAAATTAGCGTTTGACACATCAGCAAATTCTCTGAGCGTTGTGCTTGTGTATGTGATTTTCAGTCTAAGAGCGACGAGACATGGAGATCAAAAAATTTCAATAACGGATGCGAAAATAGTGACTCTAAAGAAAAGAGTAATACTTTTAAAGCGATTGAAGATTCAAAGGAAAACATCTCTATGTCCACAATTAAATTTCGTCAGAGAGAAAATCTTGGCTGATTGGGAGGAACAAAATTGTTTCTTTTTTTATATTTTATTTCTTTAATTTTATTATCTTCTAAAATATTATATATATATATATATATTCATATTTAATAAGGATAAGTAAAAGTAAAATTGGAATATTCTGTTTGTTATGAAAATGCGAGTATATAAATAACAATATTTATTTTTAGGTATTAAATTGCACATTTTTATTTGTTTGGATATTATTTTTCCAACCAAAAAATATTAGGTACTAATCGTCAAAATAAAAAATATATGGGGTAATTTGGTTTTATTGTGTTTATGGACCATACATATAAACTCAAAATCTTTTTTTCTTAATAATTATATATATATATATATACACGTATTCCTAATTTCTAAATTGTGTGTAACTTCCTATTTATTTAGATAAGCACTAGTACTTAATTTCCATATTGTATTAGTACAAAAAATAAAATAAAAATCCAAATTTTATGGGGGGGGGGGGTAAATAAGTACAGTAGTTTTATTTAAGGGTTGTGAGAATACATAACAAATACAAAGTGCCTTTTCATTCCCCACACCCTCCACAATCTTCTTTCTGTTTTGTCTTCATGCTCTCTCGAAAGAACTCGAATTGGTCCTCTTTTACAACCTCTGTTTTCATACAAGACTCAGAGTCAATTTTAACTTTTGTCCGGACAAAGTCTACAACATCAAAATCCTGCTTTTGATCTATATATACTTTGGATCACAGTAGTACTGTGACAAATTCTGCAGCTTGGTTATGATATGAACGGTAAGTTTGTCCCTCTCCAATGTTGTATGCACATGGAAGCTCAGCTGGAAACTTGTATTCAACTGTTGGTGGAGAGCTTCAGTGTGAAAGAGAGCATCAAACTGGTAAACCGAGGCTTTTAGAAGCTTGAAGGGTTCAAAGTCAGTAGATAATTTATTTTTCGTGCTTCCTTGTTAACGATGGTCCAAGTATAGAGGATGAGACCATCATAACGAACCCTTTTGAACTCTTGTAGCCTTTTCCTTGCAGAATCAATCGCCCAAACATAACAGGAGCGTTCAAACTGATTCTCAACAGTTGAAGTCTTTTGGTATTCGGAATCTAGCAAGGCGACAATCTGAGCAATATTAAGCCTGAGAAAGTAAATAACAATGTCAACAATTTCTAACATTGTGACTAACCAAAACAAAATAAACCAGACAAACAAAATCTATAACATCAAGATGAGGATTTGAGATTTCATAATCTAAGAATACACCAAGAGACCACGAAAGTAAACAATCATAGAGCATGATTCGTGCAAAAATAACGTTTTTTCCAGAATCCAGTCGGTTTACAAATGACTTTGCAGATTGAGGACAAGTACATAGACAAGAACATGAAGATGAACTAAACAAAATCAAGCAGACAAATAAAATCAATAACATCAAGATAATGATTTGAGATTTCATAATCTAAGACTAGGAAACAATCATAGATTTTTCAAAATTAGGAATAATAGTTAGATTTCCTTTTTTTTTTAATTAAGTTTAAAAGTATATCAAGCCAAACTTTAAAAGTACATTAAAAGTATAATATTAAACTCAGTTTAACGCAGCCATGAAATAATAAAAAATTGATTTCCCCACTAATCTTCTAAATTCCAACTATCTCGAAGTATTTCACTACTTATTTCGAACTATTTCACCAATCTCAATTCATATTTTTTTTAAAAGAATTTTAACTATATATGTTATAAACTAAAATAAAATAAAATTTTAATTTACAAACAAATTTATATCATTATATATTAATAAAATATTAATAAAATATTATAGTTAATATTATTAATTTTTAGAGATTATCCCTATATTAGTAAAAGAGAAGTACAAAACAGAATACGGGTCGGGTCAAAATTAAAAAATTAACCCGATTTTAACAATTGGATACTTTAAAATTGGATATTAAATTGGGTTTGGATACATACATCGGATACTTTCTATATCTACATTTCAAATTATATTATTTCTATAACTAATTTTATGATTTCCTAATAAATCTCTAACTAAACAATTATTATTCTTCTTTAACTTTTATTTGATATTATTTTTAATTTATGATATTATACTATATAATAAAAATATTTAATAAAAATTGAATTATTTTTTGCATATGTTGCAATTTGAATTTTTCAAAACGGACATATAATATTTTGGAGAATGATTTAAAATCAGTATAAGTATGACCAATATTAAAAATTTAAAACCATTGTTACATGAGCATATTTAAAAGTTTCAAAAGTTTTAAAATATTATAATTAAAAGGTTCAAATATATAAAAATTTAGAATTTAAAATATTAAAAAAAAATATTGGAGACATAGATGTAATTTTGGAGACATAATTTTTATTGATAAAATATATTACATATTAAACTATGTAAATTTTAGATAGTTTGCGGGTAGTTTGTTAAAATCACAATTATAATTGTAAAACGAGTTATGAATATATTTTTTAAATGAATTCGGTAACGGGTTGGTCCTTCAAAAAATATATTGTAAGTATGTAATTTTTACATATATTCCTACTTTTACTACAAAATGGTCAAGTTGAATAATTTGTCGATAAATATCCACTGTTTTTTAATTGTATCAAAACTCAATGTATTATTATTTACCCACTTTTCATTTATTTTTTTTATTTAAACTTATTACATATATATATGATTCACCGTAATCGACTGCATTTCAATAACATTAAAATGTAACATATTGTAATCCGTTAAAGGTTGTATATACGTAATTATTTCCCCCGCGTTATAGCGCGGGTCCGAACCTAGTACGCTATTAAGAAGAGTACACAAATATTAAAACCAGTTAAACGGAACCATGAGAGTAACGAAAGTCTCTTTTCACTACTTACCGGAGGTATTAACTAGTTGATGAGGTCTCGAGCGAGTGAAAGGTTCAGTTCCCGCATCACCTGACATAAATCTTTTCTCGCTTTCTTCCGGAAGCGAATGAATAATCATCCGCTTCTCACGTTCTGTAAATGGTTCCAACTATCTCAAACTGTACTTCTCTTCTATTACCCATTCTCTCCATACCATATGCGATTGCAACGGGACTAAAATATAAAAATGATTTAGAGTTGCATTTTTTATTACTTTAAATTAAGGAAATGGTATACATGGATTAATTTAGAGTAAATATCAATAAAGCACCAACAATAGTTAAGAGTTAAAACCATTAGAATTCAAATTTTGGAATACTATTTTGTGACAAACAATATAATAAATAAAATGAATAGAAGAACATATGAAACAATCTAGTCTACCACTTTACAGAACACACAAAAACGAGATGCACATCAAACAGAAGCCATCACATGCAATAGGTATACGCATCTTATTGCCATCTAAAGTTATTTTTGGTGGATCTGATACATTTGATCCATCATTTCCATTTGGTTGCCTTTTTATTTTGGACTTAATTTAGGTCCTCTTACAATGATCAGGTATTTATGTGACGATCCATATCCAGATCGCCATAGGTTGGTGATGATGATTTAATCGTATTTCCTTGCTTTTGAACCCAAGGCACGACTTGAAGTATCTACATTAGTGAGACGTGACATTTTACTTTAACTTTTGGTGGAATTTTTTTGAAGTGGATCAAAGAAATGAAAATTTTGGGAATTAAAATTAAAATTCAGTGATACATATATTATCCTTATAAATCGAACATACTATAATTGAAATACTATAATTGAATTGGAGCAGTGCGAAATTGTGAATTGAATGATTGTGGCATGGATCATGAACACGACTGGACTTACTTTGAAGACATCAGTATCGCATACTATGGGAGGATTTTGAAGCTACACTTTGCGATGGGAAGTAATAATCACTATTAAAGTTTCTATACAAACTTTGTTTTCTTTTAACTTCATTTTGCGTACGTAGTCAATTGCTTGATATATACAGTTTTCATGACTTACGAATTTGATGATCAATCATAAGAATTATTGTGTGTTGGATTCTAATGTTATTGCTTGATATATAGAGTTTTCATGATTTACGAAAATAAATTACTCATAACTTCAGTTGAATTTCAACTCATATGATTCAATAAACAATAAGTTTTAATATATAGCCCTGGATAAATTTACACACAATAAATTAAATATTTGCAGCATTAAAGTATTAAAAAGGCTCATCATTTTGTGAAATAAGTTTAAATAACTATAAAATAAGATATAATTTTTATTAGTCAAAATTAGGATGAAAATAAAATTTAAGATAATTTTATAATTATTAATTATCTTTATAAAACCCTATAAAAGAGGTGGTTTTGTTCGCTTGAATCAGAGATTTCTAAACCTAGTCGATATGCAAGATCCAAAATATCTCATGGATCAGGTTTTACATACGCCGACACCGGCGCCGGCGCGGACGTCTTTAACATCGGTGTTTTGGGACATCAATCTGTGTCCGGTTCCCCCTAGCTTTGATCCTCGTCGGGTCCGTCCGAGTATTAAACGGTTTTTGGAGAATCGTGGTTACTCTGGTCTTGTCATCATCACTGCTGTTGGCGTACTTAAAGATGTCCCTGAGAACATCCTGAGAGGAGTCTTTTCCAGTGGAATATCTCTCACTAACGTCCCCTACGGTTCAGCTCCTGATGACATTAGCAGTAATATTTGTGAGTTTGCCGATGCATATCCACCTCCAGCTAATATAATGGTCATATCCGATCCGAATATCTTCACTGGTGTTTCTGAGTACCTACGTTTAACGGGACACCACCTTCTCCAGCCGTGTCCCTATGATTCTCTTCAAAGCCTTCTTGAGCAAGATTCAGTGGCACCTGAGGAAATAGTTGACTGCTGGGCAGAGACAGTTGAATCTCCCTGCTGGGAATGCTTGTTATGCTGCCGTGATCCTCCTGACCATGTCTTTGAGAATTTCATCACGCATCTCCATGGTGATGAACATGAACAATTGTTGTTCGAGTTACTGAATCCAAATAATGCTCCTCCACCCCCGGATCCCCCTGTTTCTAGTGCAAAATCTCTCATGACGTGGGACTGGTGTCCTCTGCTTACACCACCTATTGACTATTTTCAGTCAAAGAAGAAGGCTCTAACATTGGTCTTTTGGGACATAAATACGTGTCCGGTTCCTCGTTGTTCTGATGCCCCTCTGGTTGGTCCGTGCATCAAACGGTTTTTGTTGAAGAAAGGCTACGTTGGCCCTTCCATCATCATTGCCGTTGGCTTATTAGAAAAGGTCCATGTTGACATCCTGAAGGGAGTCTCCTCCAGTGGAATCACTCTCACCAATGTCCCTTACGGTTCCTCAGACATTGAGCTTCTCGCTTGTGACTTTACCAATAGCCATATGTTTCCAGTTAATATAATGGTCATATCCGATGCAAAAATCAGCGGGCTTACTTCTCGATACCTAAAAAATATGGATTGCAACCTTCTTAAGCCGTTTCCATATTCTTCTCTTCAAAGATTTCTTCTGGCAGATTCAGGGGCACTTGAGGAGGATAAGTGCAGTGAAACTGGGGAATCTGCCTACTGGTTTTGCTCAGTATGCTACCCTGGCCTTGCTTACAGAGGCTTTGATAATCTCACCGTGCATCTCTCTAGTGAACAACATCAATTCAAGTCGGTGAACCTGTTGCCGCAGAATGTTGGGCGTCCTTTAAGTGAGTGTCATTACCAGGAGGCTATAACATTGGTCTTTTGGGACATCAATACGTGTCCTGTTCCCTCTTCCTGTGATCCTCGTCTGGTCGGTCCTAGTATTAAACGGTTTTTGAAGAACAAAGGCTACTCTGGTCCTCTCACCATCACTGCCGTTGGCGTACTAACAGACGTCCCTGATAACATCCTGAGAGGAGTCTATTCCGGTGGAATCTCTCTTGATAACAACCATTGCGGTCGCTCAAGCATTAATTATATTGTTCGTGATTATACCGCTGCGAATCCACCTCCAGCTATTATAATGGTCATAGGCCATCCAGGGGTATTGCAGTCTATTTCTGACCTCTTCAGCTATAAAGGGGGATACAAGTTTTTTCCATATGATTCTATTCTAAGCTTTCTTCCGGCAGATTCAGGGGAACTTGAGGGGGGTATGTGCAGTGAAACGGGTGAATCTGCCAGCTGTGTTTGCTCAGATTGCTGCCGTGGTAATGTTGAGAAAGACTTTGAAAAATTCTCCATGCATCTCTCTAGTAGAGCACATAAACGGGCGATGTTGGACTGGCTGCCTAGAAAATCTCGGTTTTCTCTTCTTCAGGAGGATGCTTCCTACCATGGTGGCAAATCAAGCAAAGGGAAAGTGCAAGAAACGGAGGACGTGGACAAGAAGAAAAACAAGAGGAAGATGAAGAGGAGTAATAGTTAAGAAGAAGAAGGCCCTTGGTGATGGTTTTTTACCGAGGCGTTTGGTTTATGATGAATGGTTTGTTCTACCTCTGGAGGCAAATGTTGTATTAACTTAAATCAATACTTGTGCTTATTTTTCAAGTCTCGTTTTTATTATTATTTATAACTTTATCGATACTTCTTAAATTAACTATTTGTATACGGCAAATGGTGGGTTAACGTAATGCTACTTATGCTTTAAAAAAGGAGGTGAATGAGGTATAATTGAAAATAAATAGCCTTTGAGAGTAAATGTAAAAAGGGTACGATAACAAATAATTTTTCAAAGTTTCCCTATGATCTGATGTATTTAATATTTTCAAAATTATATTCAATTTCAATCCCAGATATTAGTATGACATCAATTTTCACATTTATAAATTATAACTTTTCCCAAGTTTTTATGCAATTTAAATATACAACCCCGGATTTTATACAATAAACATATTAAATTAATATATATAAAAATATTATCCTATTAACTTATCATATTTTTAATGAAATTGGTCAAGATTTGGGACCAGAACATTCTTATTATGATACATGTTTGTTTAGATATTCATTCACTTAGAAAAAGTTGATATATTACTAATTTAAAGATATCTTACTACACAAGTTATATCTTATCACCATTTTATTTTTTTGGTAGAAATCTTATCACCATTTTATTATGTTCTCAATTAATTTATGTTTCAAAAAAAAAAATACTTATTGTAGATCCCACCATCATAATAAGATGATCGAACATTTATTAATAATATATTTTTCATGCATCCAATTTTCAATACCAAGATTGTTTTTTAAATGTACCCAACTTTAATTGAGAAAAATTTATTTCTTAACTCTCCTAATTTGATTATAAATACACAATACCTTCCCTTAAAATCTCCATCTCTCTATCTAGTGCAATCAAAGTTTTCGAAAGAAGTGATTATTTCATCAAAACATGGCTTCTAGTATGGATTTTCCTTAATTGTTGATTGTTCATTATTTATATTTCTGTAGTTATATATCTGTTTGTATACATTAAACTTTTACAATATGTACAGGTACTGGCATTGCTTGTGGAGACACTAAAATTGTTTCACCAAAAGGAATTCACAAGGCCACGATAGTCTGGCTTCATGACATCGGGGAGAAAGGCCGAGAGTAACAAAATCACATACTTTACTTTGTATTATATTATAGGGATTTTTTTTTTTCAAGTGTCAAAGTAACCTATCTCGTTTTAACAAAAGTTTTTTAAAATGCCATATTCTAGTAACCGAGCAACTTATAAACATGTTTGATAATTTCTCAACTTTTAAGGTTTTTTTTTGGCTTTAAATGGAAGAAACATGGGACTGAAAAGTATTTATTTTATTTTTAAGTTGATTTTGGCTTGTTCTACAAATATTATGACCTGATTTGATTTGATTAGAATTTTTTATTTGTGTATAATAGTTTTTCCCATTTTTGTATTAATATATTGGTGGCTTGACACGAATAATTAATAACTTTTTTTTTCTCTCGTATCATTTCACTCAAATTTCATTTGTTTTATAAGCTCACTTCACTAAAATTGTATATACGTAAAATCTTGTTCTTCTCTGTACGTAGTTCAAGTGTGTCTCTCACTCTATATATGTCTATTCTTTCTGCATGCAGCTCAGCTATATTTGTACGTCAACTGAATCTTCCAACTGTATGGATCCATGCACATGTTAATTTTGCAATAAATCTGAATTTGATTTTTTTTTAGGCAAACAGAGAAGTTTCTAATTATAAATTATAATTTTTATGCATAGGTAAAATGGATTTGTCCGACTGCTCCAAGACGTCCAGTGACTTCCTTGGGTGGAACCCAAACTACTGCTTGTAAGTTATATTTTGGCTTATAACTTTAAAAAGACACTAGTTCTAGTTAATGTGATCGTCTAAAATTTTAATTAAAAAATAGTTAAGTAAAACCTAATAACATTGTATATACAATCTTTTTGATCAATTAGGGTCCGATGTCACGGGAGTTTCTGAGAACATGGAAGATGATATGGTTTCTTTAAATTCTATAGCTGCGTTTGTTGTTAACCTTTTACAAGACGAACCAAACAATGGTAACCCATAATCATCATCTACACATAATATGCTTAGTTTTTATAGTATGCATCAAACTTTACATATCAAATCTATTAATCCTATTGGTTTTCGATAGTCATGATCGGACTAGGAGGTATCGGCTTGGGTGCATCGGTAGCTCTCTACCTTGCGACTTGTTATATCACTGGATGGCAGCAAACCATAAGACTAAGAGCTATTGTAGGGATCAACGGATGGCTTCCTGCTTGGAGGTAGGCTCGCTTTAAACCCAATAATGTCACAATTTGTAAGAAAATTTAAGTTACACAAAATTTTATTTAACAACATGGAAGCCTAACTCAAATCTTGCAGGAACTTACGCCAAAACATGTCATTTAATTATGGAACCCCAAGTCTTGCTCCATCCGTGCCGATCTTACTTACACATGGAACTTGTTTGTGTATATTGTCATCTACATATATACCTTACGATTTATATATCAATAGCGAGATGATACTGATCTTCTTTGTCCTTATTTTTTCTGTGTGTCACAGCTGATGCTATAGTTCCCCTCTCTGTTGGAAACAGATGTCGTGACACTCTTCACAGGGCTGGATTTCCAGTCACATTCACACCATACGAAGGGTATCTAAATATGATTCTTTGCTTTGCTTTAGTTACCACGTGACCTTATATTTCTGAATCTAATTTTGGGGTTATACCTTGCACAGAAATCATCATGCTACAGTTCCCCAAGTAATCAATGTTGTTCGCATGTGGCTCACAACGAACTTCCAACTGTAGGGTTAATGCTCAAAAATGTGTAGAGAAAGGAATTGGAGGGCGAAACTATTATTTATATATATAATAAATAATAATAGCAGATTTCATTTTTAAATTTCTCCTTATTTGTGCATAATCAATAATATATATTTGTTCATAATCAATAATATATATGCAATGTATTCTTCGTTGGGAACCTTTAAAAAAAAACTAAATTTTATTTCTCCATTTCATGTTATAATTGATCTACGATGTTTTTTTTTTTTGTATCTCTTTAATTTTCTATTAAAATCTGGCAAATTAATTTCGCAATGCTCCTTTCACTAGATGTAATGTTATGTAACCATTTATGAGAGAGAATGATACTAAGTAAAAGGTTGTATCTGTGCTCAAAATTCCACAAACGTCTCTCACTGGGGAAGACATCATTAATTAACACTCGTAAGCAAGATGGATTGATGGAGCATCATCGAATAACATCATCTGTCAATGATTTTCATGAACACGATCAGCTGAAGTGAATGGTCCTGGTGCTAAACGTTGCATTAAATCATCAAAATCAAAGTCAAACGTTTTAAAGTCTTAGGTCGTAGTCATATAAGAGGCCATTATCTTAGCAAAATAAATAGTAATATATAACAGGCCATTGATAGAAATCTTTTATCCTGCAGAAATCTTTTATCATCATATTATATAATAGAATTATATTATACGATCATAAAAGATTTCTTCAATTTACTAAAGCTTGTATGCGTTCTAATTTTTGTCACGTCACTTAATTTATGTTCGTCTAATCGTCTTGACATGATTATATATGTAATTCTATTGTAAGTTGATTACAATTATGTTCTCCATATATGTTGCTTTCATTAACAGGCATGGAGATGAATCAGATCATAATTTGGGATACTAGATAGATGACTATGAATGACAAGCATCCATATTTACTATGACTAAGACCGTGATTGGTAATGGCTGTAGCTTTAGTTTTTGGACTGTAGATTTTAAGGTGTAGATTTTGTTGTTGTAGTATTTTGGCCGTAGAAATTAAAATTTTGTACAACCGAAATAATTATTAAGGAAATATTTTGGATTAAAAAAGAAAATCAAAAGTTTCAAAAGTTTGATTGTTTTAGGTTTAGTGCTGTGCATCAAAATTTGACTGTGGAAAGTTTCTAAAGACATAACCAATCAAGGCCTAAGTCGATAGAATCACCTCCTGCATCTCAAGATTGTGTTGTTTGAAATACTACTTTACGTACAAGTTAGATGTCTCAGCTGATAATATAGTTTCCATGACTGGATGTCCAATCACATTAACACCAAAAAAAAGGGTAGCTAAACATGAATTAACTTAAAAAAATTTCTATCCCTCTTGAGAGAAATCTCAGAGCCCTTTAATTTGCTTCAAATCTATCCAAAAAGTTTTTCTTAATCTGCTTTAATTAGTGTACCGGATTTTCAATTTCCTTTAATATTCTGTACCAAAGCCCTCCCTTGTATTAGCTGAACCGGCAGTTTATGTACCGGCCCCAATTTAATGCAATCCAAAACTGTTCGACAAAAAAAAAGAAACTCAAAGAGCTCAACGTGCTATTTAATTTAGGGAACAAATTATAAAGGGATAAAATCAAGAAAGATATTATATTAATTACATTTAAACACAACTAATTACTTTATAACATCAAAATTAAAAGTACCTTAAAAACAACTTTGATAAAGTGTCAAATTTAGATGTTTTTCTTTTCTTTTATTTATATGATCTATAGATTATTGAATTGTGTTAATTACATCAAAAGTTTATTTTTGTTTGGTTTTTAAGCTTTTCATTTTGTAGACAATTCCAATAGATACTAAATAAAAATATTAAAATTACTTTTAATAAATTATGCCTCCACTGAAACTTTGTTATGAAAACTAGTTATAACTTTAAGGTGTGTGATTTTGTCAACTTTTAATACTAGATTTTTCTTTCTTTCTTTCTTTTTTGTTAAAATTAGATTTTTTTTCTGTCATAAGGTTCCTTTTGTTGGTTTAAAAATAAAAAGAAAAGAAAAAAGGAAACACTCATTTCTTGTATAAATACACAATGGCTTCCCTTGCCTTCTCTTATATCTTTCATCTCTAGTGCAACTTCTTCTCATATCAAAACATGGCTTCTAGTTCTCGTTCAAGAAAAGAAAAAGCTTCTTCTTCAAAAGAAAAGAAAAATGTGGCTTCTGGTTTGTTCTTTCTTCCTTGTTGTCATTATTAATGTTTCTTCGCAAGGCTGGGTTTCGAGTAACATTTTCTTATGTTCTAAAATTAAATTATGTATCCAAAAACAAAATATTCTTGATCCGACCATCATAATAAGATGATGGAACTTTGATTAGTAATATTTTTTTTATGCATCCAATTTGATTATAAATACACAATACATGTTCCTTAAAATCTCCATCTCTATCTAGTGCAATCAAAAAATTTCGAAAGAAAAGTGATTATTTCATCAAAACATGGCTTCTAGTATGTATTTTCCTTAATTGTTCATTGTTATATCTCAATTTGGAATTGATACATTAAAATTTTACAATATGTACAGGTAATGCCATTGCTTGTGGAAACACTACAATAGTTCCACCAACAGGAATTCACAAGGCAACTATACTCTGGCTTCATGACATCGCGGAGAATGGCCGAGAGTAACAAAATCTAACAATCACATATTTCTTTTTTTCTATATAATATATATACATATATTATAATTTGTTTTGATTTTTGTTTGAAGTATTGTACATAATATTTTTTCCCTAAGCTTTTTGTATTAAATTTCATTTCTTATGAGCTCACTTTACTAAAGTTGCTTGTATATACGTAAAATCAGTCTTGTTCATTTCTATACTTCAAGTGTGTCTCTCACTCTACATGTCTATTTTTGCTAACTAACTCTATATATCGATTCTTTCTGCATGCAGCTCTGTACTTCAAATACATACTAGGAGTTTATTTTTTGCTAACTAACTCTATATCTCACTCTATATGTCTATTTTTTGCTAACTAACTCTATATGTCTATTCTTTTTGCATGCAGGTCAGGTACGTTTGTACGCAAATTGAATCTTCCAAATGTATGAATCCATGCACATGTTAATTTTGCCATAATATATATATGTATGAATCCAAACATATGTTTCTAATTAGAAGTTATAATTTTTATGCATAGGTAAAATGGATTTGTCCGACTGCTCCAACACGCCCCGTTAACTACTTGGGTGGAATCCAAGCTACTGCTTGTAAGATATATTTATTTGGCTTTAATCTTTAGAAAGACACTAGTTCTATTTAATGTCTTTTAAAATTTTAATTAAAAGCTAATAACATTGTATATAAAATATTTTCGATGAATTAGGGTTCGATGCCACGGGAATTTCTGAGAACATGACAGACGATATGGTTTCTTTAAATTCTACAGCTGGGTTTGTTGTTAACCTTCTAAAAGATGAACCAAGCAATGGTAACCCATAATCATCATCTACACATAACATGCTTAGTTTTTTTTTTATAGTATGCATCAAACTTTATATATCAAATCTATTAATCCAATTGGTTATTGATAGTCAAGATAGGACTAGGAGGTATCGGCATGGGTGCAGCGGCAGCTCTCTACTTTTCGACTTCTCATATCACTGGATGGGAACAAACCATAAGACGACTAAGAACTATTGTAGGGATCAACGGATGGCTTCCTGCTTGGAGGTAGGCTCATTTTAAACTTTAATGTCACATTGCTATTTGTAAGAAAACTTAAGTTACACAAACTTTCATTTAAACATGGAAACCTAACTCCAATCTTGCAGAAACTTCCGCCGCAACCCAAGTCTCGCTCCATCCCTACAAATCTTACTTACACATGGAACTTGTATGTGTATATTGTCATCTACATATCTACTTTATGATTTATATATCAATCTCGAGATGATACTGATTCTTCTTTGTCCTTTTTTTTCTTCTGTGTGTGACAGGTGATACTATAGTTCCCTTCCAAGTTGGAAACAAGTGTTCTGATATTCTCCGCACGGCTGGATTTTCAGTTACATTCATACCATACGAAGGGTATCTAAACATGAATTAACTTAACTTTGCTTTGCTTTAATTACTAACTACTTGACCTTATTTTTCTGAATCTACTTTTGGGGTTATATACCTTGTTCAGGCATCATTATGCAATTCTAACAAATTTACCAGTAATTAATGGTGTTCGTACGTGGCTCACAACAAACCTCCAAGTCTAGGGTCAATGCTCACCAGTGAGTAGAGAAACGAATTGGAGAGAAAATTATTATACAATAAACTATATATAATGGCATATTTAATTTTTATTAATTTTCTCTTTTTTTTTTTGTTCATAATCAATAATATATATGCAATGTATTCTTCATTAGGAACCTTTAAATAACTAAAATTTATTTTTCCATTCTGTGTTTTCTTTAATTTATCTACTATTTTTTCATGTATAACTCTTGTCTAGTAAAATCTGGAAAATTAATTTCGCAATGCTCCTTTCTCTAGCGAAGTTATATATTTTGTCAAATTTTGCTGTTATTATGTTTGTTCATTTCTTAATATCTTATCTCGGTCTCCTGTGAAAGTCAAACGTTTTAAAGTCATAGGTCGTAGTAGTCATATAAGAGGCCATTAAAATTAGTTCAAATCAAGTTCTTAAATCGATTAAAAGGTTTTAAAAGTCTTTGGTCGTAATCTAGTCATCATCATCCTATATTCCTATTTTTTCTTTTGGTTCTTCTGCTTCTGCAAAAGCTTCTCCAGTTGCTTCTGCTTCTTCTGCTCTCTCTTCTCCTTACTCCCTTCTTTCTGCTTTCTCATCTTCTCACTGTAAGTGTTTAGAACTGACAATGTTATTGATATGTATTAATGTATATGTGAATATATATACACAAGTCAGTTACATATATGATCTCAACAAGAGATAAAGATGAAATGATCTTAACTTAGCTATACAAGAGAATGTATGATATGAAAGAGATAAAGATAATCTTAGTGAATATCCTAACCATTGTTGTCAAATCCACGCATAGATCACCGACGCCATCGGCCATAATATTTTATTCTCACATATATATATTTGGAAACTCGAATTATTTGTATAAATCCTATGTCGATAGATGTCATAGAAACCAAGAAAGAAGAAAAGTAATTTTAGTTAGTAATTTTTCGATAGACGTCACAATTTATTAAAAGTAATTTTAATATTTTTTTAGTTAGTATTTTTTGGATTGGTCTACAAAATGAAAAGCTTAACAAACTAAAGAAATTAGATTTGCATTCATATTTTATTATGTTCTCAATTAAATTATGTCTCCTAAAACATAATATTCTACATCCGACCATCATGATAAGACGATCGAACTTTGATTAGTAATATTTTTTATAAGCATATCCAATTTTCAATACCAATATTTTTTTTAATGTACCCAACTTTAATTGAAAAGTCTTTATTTCTTAACACTCCTAATTTGATTATAAATACACAATACCTTCCCCTTTCCATCTCTATCTAGTGCAATCCAAAAGTTTTCTAAAGAAATTATTATTTTCCTTAGTTGTTGATTGTTCATGATTTTTTTTCCTTTAGTTATATATCTGTTTGGAATTGATACATTAAAATTTTACAATATGTACAGGTAGTGCCATTGCTTTTGGAGACACGAAAGTAATTTCACCAACAGGAATTCACAAGGCAACTATAGTCTGGCTTCATGACATCGGGCAGAATGGCCGAGAGTAACACAATCTGATAATCACATACTTTTTTTTTTATTATAATATATATATATACACATATATCATAATTTGTTTTGCTTTTTTTTTGAAGTATTTTACATATATAATATTTGTTTCCCTAAGCTTTTTGTATTAAATTTCATTTCTTATGAGCTCACTTCACTAAAGTTGTATGTATATACGTAAAATCAGTCTTGTTCATTTCTTACTTCAAGTATGACTCTCACTCTATATGTATATTTTTTCTCCATGCAGCTCAGCTAAGTTTGTACGTAAACTAAATCTTCCAAATGTATGGATCCATACACATGTTAATTTTGCCATAAATCTGAATATATATTAGCCAAACAGAAGTTTCTGATTAGAAAGTTACGATTTTTATGCATAGATAAAATGGATTTGTCCGACTGCTCCAACACGTCCCGTGACTTCCTTGGGTGGAACCCAAACTACTGCTTGTAAGATAAAATTATTTGGCTTGAAACTTTAGGAAGACACTAGTTATATATAATGTCTTTTAAAATTTGAATTAAAAATAAATAACATTGTATATAAAATCTTTTCGATGAATTAGGGTGCGATGTCACGGGAATTTCAGAGAACATGGCAGACGATATGGTTTCTTTAAATTCTGTATCTGTGTTTGTTACTAACCTTCTAAAAGATGAACCACCCAATGGTAACCCATAATCATCATCTACACATAACATGCTTAGTTTTATAGTTCGCATCAAATCTATTAATTTAAGTGGTTTATGATAGTCATGTTAGGACTAGGAGGTATAGGCATGGGTGCAGCGGTAGCTCTCTACTTTGCAACTTGTTATTTCATTGGATGTAAGAAAACCATAAGACTAAGAATTATTGTAGGGATCAACGGATGGCTTCCTGCTATGAGGTAAGGTCTCTTTAAACCAGAACATTACTATTTGTAAGAAAACTTAAGTTACACAAACTCTCAGTTAAACATGGAAACCTAACTCAAATCTTCCAGAAACTTTCGCCGCAACATGTCATTTAGTTACACAAGTCTTGCTCCATCCGTACAAATCTTACTTACACATGGAACTTGTATGTGTATATTGTCATCTACATATCTACTTTACAATTTATATATCAATTGCGAGATGATATTGATTCTTCTTTGTCTTTTTTGTTTTCTGTGTTTCACAGCTGATGCTATAGTTCCCTTCCAAGTTGGAAACATATGTTTTGACACTCTTCGCGCGGCTGGATGTCCAGTCACATTCACACCATACGAAGGGTATCTAAACATGAATTAACTTAACTTTGCTTTGCTTTAATTACTAGCTACTTGACCTTATTTTTCTGAATCTAATTTTGGGGTTATACCTTGTGCAGGGATCATCATGCAAATGTTCCTCAAGTAATCAATGGTGTTCGCTCGTGGCTCACAATGAACCTCCATTTCTAGGGTCAATGCTGACCACTGCGTAGAGACATGAATAGGAGAGCAAAACTATTATACAATATACTATACATATATAATAGCAGATATAATTTTTAAATTTATCCTTTTTTATTTATAATCAATAATATATTTGCAATGTTCGTTGGGAACCTTTAAAAAAAGCTAACATTTATTTCTCCGTTTATAATTTAGGGGGTGTTATTGAATTGTGGATTTTAAAAGAATTGGATGTATTATAAAATCAGGTGTTATTCAATCGTGTATCTATCTATATATATAAAGTTAGCTTTTTCTCTTTTCTCATGATGCCACCTAAGCATCTACATAAGCCACATTTTTGTTTAAACATTAAAATAAATTAAAAACATTCATTTAGTGCAAATTTATGTTACTTATTTAATTAATAGAAAGTTTATATAAATAAAAATAAATTATGTAAAAAAATGAAATGTTAAAATAAGAAAAACAATACTTAAATTTTTTATTAGTGGTAATAATAAAATTAAACTTTCATTTTAAATTGATCATAATTTAATATTTTAAATATGTTACTGAGTTTTAGAATGGAAGTAAAATTTAAATTTATGGTAGACTAAAACAACATTTATGTAATTGTATATATAAAATTATAAAGAGGAAAAAAAAATGAAAGTGAAATATTAGTTTATAACATGATCAAAAAGAAAAAAATGTCATAAATTGAATCAAGTGCTTTTAATTCAAATTTGAGTATTGAAAGATAATAATTAAAGAGAAAATAATTATAATATTTTTTGAAAATTAATTAAAAAAATAATAAAATATCACAATATGAATAAAAAATCAACGAAACAAAATTATAAAGGGGGAATTTCAAAAATACTCTTTTTCATATACCTATTTTTAAAAATACCCCCTTTTCAAACTTTATCAAAAACCCACTAAAAATGTTGAAATTTATCCAAATATGTGTGTAAGCTTATAAATATATACACCAATTACCTTTATATGTGTATAAAACTTTAGATACCTTTCATAAATAGCGTAAGAATAAATTATAAAAACCTTATAAAAACCTTATAAAAACCGTATAAACCCTTTTAAAAACCTTATAAAACTTATAAAACGATTTAAAACTATTTAAAACATTTTAAAATATTTTTATCGAATCTTCCAGTAGTAGTTATTATATAGAAGTACCTTATAAACTATATAAAACTTTATAATTTTTTATATTTAAAAAGGGGTATTTTTGAAAATAGATAGATAAAAGGGGTATTTTTAAAAAGGGGTACACCAAAAGGGGTATTTCTAAAAAATTCTCAATTATAAACCTCCCGTGCGCGGAGCGCGGGTCAACTGCTAGTTTTAAAAAATACTTTAAAATCAGGTGTTATTCAATTTCTATTGGATTTTGATGGATTTTATTTCAAGTGGATTTTAATGTACTTTTTTAACTAAAGCATAAGTAACTAAAATCCGAGAGTTTTGATAAGTATTTTGATGTATTCCATATAAAATAATAAATAAATGAAAAAGCATTTTTTCATATCACGATTATAGTTAACCATCTTCTCCACCATTATCATCACTTTCACTGAAACCTTCAACAACTTCTCCAAGGCTCAAACGAGAGAGTTAAGAGATCCCAAACCCTCCAACTCATTCTACTCAATTTCTTGAGAATCCATTGGCATCAAGTAGAACTATTATCCTCCCCAGCAAACCCATCACCTGAGATTCCACCGTTTGAATTAATTTTTGGGATTTATACAGAGAATTATGGATGAAAAAATCGTTTTTCTTCATGTGCAATTTGTGAAAATTTGCATTTCTCAGCAACTGAGTTTTTAAAAGCAAAATACTATTTCGAATACAGATTTGACAAACTCAATAAAACAATTTCATTTTTTGAAACAAAGGTGATAAAGCAGTTAATATCTTTTCTTTTATTGATTTTGTTCATCTATATTGTTTTTCTTCTAGGATATCCAAAGGAAAAAAAAAACAATACAATGAAATACAACGAAATCTTCCGAAAATATATTGAATCCATCGTAATCCATCAAAAAGTACTTCAAATACAAATACATTAAAAAAGTACAAAATCCTTAATCCAATAACACCCCTTTAGGGAAATTACCTATATTAACTTAGATTAGTTGGTATATTACTATAATAACTTAGATGAGCTTGCCCTTACTAAAACAACATATAAAAGTTTGATTTTTACTCATAAAACTTAGGTAAAACTTTTATCTACAATTCTGTCATTTATAATTAAATTTGGTTTGAAAAAAAAAAAAATAGAAATGAAAAATATCAGCTAGGTTCTTCTGCCGAAAAAGTGAAGAACTCTGCATCTCTGCAATGTCGCAGAACTTATCTTGTATCGGATAAAAAATTCAAATTTAAGTTTATATTTAATATATATAATTTTAGTAATGCTTCCACAAAAATTTTTAAAAAGTAACAGATCAGAATTTAAATATTTAAAATGTATAAATTTTATATAATAATAAACTTATAAATATTTTAATTTGGAACATGTAAAAATAATTGAACTTAAAATTTATAAAAAATATCATAAAAATCTTAGCTAAAATTTAAAAATTACAAATACTCTAATTTGGTATTTCAAACAAATATTGAAATATTTATTGCAAACGAGAATTAACTGTAACTTTTTATATGATTGAATAAATTATGATCCTTATAACAGACAACGGGAATATAAGTAAGATGACATATCGAAACTTTGTTTTAACATATAAAAGATATAAATTATTTTTTAAAACAAAATACAGTCTGTGCTTTAACTGATATGGGTATTGTAGTTGCAGAGTTTGGTTGCTCCTTGCCTTTAAGTAACATACAGACATTTGTCTCTGTTATAGCTTGTGGACGATCTTCGGAGCAATCACATGGGTTTCATCTCCGCTAGCAAAATGGTATTGTAAATTTCTTTTATGGGCTTTCACTTACTACTTCAGATAAAGATACAGCCTTTCAACAGTCTATAATGTTAGTAGTTAGATCATGTTAGATGTGATATGTTACAGGTCTAATTTTTTTTTTATCTTTAACTCCGTATTTTTGGGATTGTGATAATGATAATGAAAATGCTAATGATCATGATTTGGTTCGATGAAGGAAAGTGAAAGAAACAACCCCTTCACTTTCTATTTTGTTTGTAGGTCTAATTTTAGAGATTTTGACGACGATATCACTTTTTCTTAATATCATGACTGTGGTAAGAGCATGTTTAAATGTGAAATGATGCACTAGTATTTTGTGACTTGTGATAATGTTCATAATTTGGTTCGGGTGAAAGAAACAGCCGTTTCACTTAATGTTATTTATGTGGTTTTCTCGTTTTTAGTTACAGAAATTGGTATTCTAGTGAGCCTTGGGCCGAGAGAAGCTAAAAGTTTGGTTTTTCTTTCCTTTTTGTTGAGTGGAAGCATATCTCTCTCCCAATTTCTCTGTTTTTTTTGCTTTCTAAGCCTTCTTAACCGCTTAATCTGTCTAATTAGGACATAATTAGAAATGAAAAAGATCAGAATTATATTGCAGTCTTACTAGTGTGTTAGGGTAGTGCTAAATATATTGTCAGTGCCTTAGTTCGAGATCTTAGGAGGATGTTATCGGTCTAAGTTCAATCTGTTTGCTAATAATAACCTTGGTTAAAGTTTTGTTGTTAGTGTACTCTTTGTTGGGATCAAAGATGTTGCTTTATTCTTCTGGCTTTTACTTAGTTTAAGAGCAAAACCAGTGTTAATATGTTGATTGGTATCCAGGTCATGTCTTGAGCAATGTCATAAAACTAGATGTGTGGGGATACTTGCTTCCAGCATTGTAAATTTTCAGCTGATGGAAAAGACATTACAGGTCCATGGTACATGCAAGAGCCACTTTAACTGAGATGGAAAAAATGGGATTGCCAAAGTGATTGTCAGTACGAATGCATGATGACAAGAGAAGAAGAAAGAAGAAGAAATGGGGAGAGGCGTACCAAGTATTTCGGTAAATGGCCACTCAAACATGTCTATGGAATTAAGGTAATCTTCTTTTTGCAATTTTTGTATACCTCTACAAGCCTCAGCTTCAATAAACATTGTTCCTGATATATCTATATATATATGTGCATCTTCAGGAACCTGTCTTTGTTGCTTTCTCTGCTCTCGACCTTGCGATGCAATTCCATTGATGTATAAAGCACCAAGACAAGGCAAAGCCTCAACCTTCTTCGACGGAACATAACCAGTTAGATTGGTTAAAGTGGTTAGACCAGTGGGAATCTCACCTCTCAAACCCATTTTGGATAAATCCAAAGATCATTGGTCTGAAGCAGGTAAACATTCCCCTGTTCCCCTCTGTTTCATCGTTTGAACCATTTTATCATTTAAATACATTACCAACATGTAGAACATGTTAGCTTAATATACGGCACAATGATGCTTTAGACTTGTGATTTTCGCTGATTTATGTGTTTCTACATGTTTGAGTATAAATTTGTAACATGTTAGCTTAATATACGGCACAATGATGCTTTAGACTTGTGATTTTCACTGATTTCACTGATTTATGTGTTTCTACATGTTTGAGTATAAAAATACTCTAGAAAAACCATTTATATCATGGTTAAAAACCGTAAAACCCATAATATATCACTACCATCAGCCAGTTCGACTTTAAATTGCATCATGCGCATAAATCGACACTGTCCCTTTTGTTTAAGACAAAATTTAGATGTATTGTGTTCATCTAACTCATAAGTGGCCGGATCTAAGGAAGTATTGATTAATTTTCAAGATTAAATTTGGAAACTCGAATTGTTTGTATAAACCCTATGTCGATAGATGTCATTGAAACAAAGGAAGAAAGAAAAGTAAAAATTTAGCATTACCTATTATCTTCTTGACTCATATTTTCTTTCTTTCGCTCGGTGTGATAATTAGGCTTTGCGCGCAGTATATTCTCTATCACAAAAAGTAGATAGAGAGATATCTAACTATTATAAACAAAAGTACTTTTGCTATTTTTATAGTTTTTTTTCCTTAAAACATATATTTATTATATAATTTTTTTTGCTTTACATATATATGGAAAAATCAGACGGCGAAATAAGTATATTTCTACAAGAAAAACGAAGATGCTACAAAACATATAAATTTAATCGTAGTTTGTTGACTTGCGTGCCTTCAAGTTCCTCTTTGGTATGGGATACTTTCCTTTTTTTACTTTTGATAAGAGTCAATCTAAGATCTTTCCCCTCTCGATATTGTTACTATTATGTTAGGCATCTCGCTTAAGCTAAAATGTAAGTCTTTATCAAACATCTTATTATCTTAGGCAATGTTTCATTGGCTTCATGAGAAAGGCCTACGACAAGAAAGGAGCAGAAGACCAAGAAGAGGCAACAAAAGCTTTTGAGTTTTATGCTTAATTATATATGCGTCGCTTCTCTTTGCGATTTTGGCTCTGTTTTGTTTCCTGTGTACATGCCCTTTAAATAGATGGACAGTTTTTTTTTTTTTGCTTGTGGGTTAAGGAAAGAAGATATGAGCTGATCAGTTTTGAGCTTATTATATTATATGATAAATAAAATATTTCTGCAAGTTTAACCAGATCGAGCTTCTCTGCGTTCTATTTTTGTCATGTCACTTTGTATAAAAGGATCCAGAATATGTAGAACATTCTTTAGTATATTTGTTAATAATTACTATGGTTTATATTTATGGAAACTAGGTTAATATGGTTATCATTCTATTCTCTATATAAACAGTTGTAATCACTATTATATATATCTTTTATGAGAGTCAATATAATATTTCCTAATCACTAGTGTGTTCTTCTCTCATCAATCTTCAACATGGTATAAGAGCAGGTTTGCTCCTGAGTTTTGATCTAACAATCAAATTCATTATCTTTTATTTTTATTAAGCCAAGTGCTTCTCTCATTCAAGTTCATCATGAACCTCTAGATCTAAGCCATTGTGCTTCTCTTCATTCACGTATATGACATAGACCTCTGAATCTAAGCTAAAATGCTTCTTTATTTAATTTTATTTTTAGAAAAAAAAACCTTTTTTATTATTTACTGTTTTTATTTTACTTTATAAGTTTTTTTTTTAAGCCATGAGCTTCGTAATATTGTTTCTTAATGCTTTTTTATTTTATTTTTTTTTTATTTTTTTTTTTAAAAAAGAAAAAAAAAATAGATATCGTTTCTAGAAAAAAAAAGTTTTTTGAATAAACACATCTTCTTCTCATGGAAGAACACGGATCTTTAAAGAATGATCTCTTGCTTTGTCGTATCATTGGCTATGATGACGACCACATCAGATTTTCATCTAGTGTGCAAGGCAACAACCCCGTGAGAAAGGATGACCTATCACCTATGGTTATCTATGTTTCATACTCAGCAGTAATTCATCTTCTCAACTAGATCTCTTCATCAACACTTTGATTTTACAGTCAATCTCAAGCCGTTGCTTCCGCTTTCACTCCATCCCCACCTTGAGATTGAGGGGGCGTATAAAAGGATCCAGAATATGTAGAATATTCTTTAGTATATTTGTTAATAATTACTATGGTTTATATTTATGGAAACTAGGTTAATATGGTTATCATTCTATTCTCTATATAAACAGTTGTAATCACTATTATATTTTTTATGAGAGTCAATATAATATTTTCTAATCACTAGTGTGTTCTTCTCTCATCAATCTTCAACACTTTGTGTTCGTCTTGACATGATTATATGTGTAACACTATTGTAAGTTGTTTTCAATTATATTCTCTATGTCAAACCTGTTTTAAAAAAATATTATATTCTCCATGTTGCTTTCATTAATAGGCATGGAGATAATGATTTGGGATAGTAGATACATGACTGTAAATTATATGCATTTTTACTAATCAATACAATCACCTCGTGATTAGATTGAGTTGTTTGAAATACTACTTTACCTACAATTTTAGGTGGCACAGCGGATAATATATATAGTTCCCTTCCCATTTGGAACCAAATTTTTTTGACATTCATCGCATGAGTTGCTTTTAGTTTTATTTTTTTAGTTACATGAGTGTAATTTTTTATGTGGCTGAAGATATTCCTTATGATGTCATATATATTAATAAAATGATTTTAATCGAACAAAATTAGATCGATGAAAGATCTAACTATGTTACTTAACTTTAGAAAAATCAAGGCCTACACAAGATTAGACAATACCAAAAAATTAGTCATCATGTCATTCTAGAATTGATCGTGAGACAATATAGAAATTACAATATGGTTTAAAGTCAAATTGAAGTTGGGGAAGAATGATGTAACAACCATGTCTAAAATTTGGGTAGTGTCGACCGACACCAACAAAATTGGATTAGACGGTTTAGCTTTGAAATCATCAGTTTGACTCAATTTTGGTTTGGGAGCAACCCTAGGTCGACTTAAACTTGAGCAGTCGTCTTTCTTCTTCACTTTTTGGTGTTTTATCGCTTTCTTAAAGAGAGAAGAGAGAGATGTGAGTGAAAGTGGATGCTAAGGTCCTAAGGTGAGGCTTGTGAGGGGTTTCTAGAGGCTTCTGGAGGCTGTTCTTGGGTGTTCTAGCAAGGGATCAGTGGGATTCGTGGCTGTGGGTGTTCTTTTTCTCTGTTTCGTCCATCCTTTCAATCTATATCAAAGGTGAGGGCGTGACCATGGTTGATCTGAGCATGTTAAACCCTTCTGATGTGTATTTTGATTGGTTTGGATGGCTGGAAATTGTTGTGTGTGGCTTGTTTGTGTGTTTTGGTTGCTCTATTTGCTTGATTGAGTGTTAAGGTTCATGGCTGGAGTTTTGGATGTGGTGAATTCACTCTCTGGTGAGTTGAGAGGTGATTTCAGGGCTTCTGCAGAGGTAGTGTCGATCAACACCAGTTTGGGTGTCGGTCGACACCAACGTGGTGTCTATGTTGGTCGACACCATTTTCTGCTCTGGACAGTTTTTCTTGACAGCAAGTAGTTCGTGTCTTTTTATGTCTGTTTTGTTTGATTTGGTTAATCTGATGCATGTTGGGTTGATTTAATATGCTTGTGTGTATAGCCCAATGGATGGGAGAATCGATTCACTGAGTATTTGTGATAATACTCACGCATCTTATTGTGTTTGTGGTGTAGGTAAAGTGTGACGTGGAATTTATGGCAATGAGGAGGAGGATGATCTAGGGTCTCGGTTGTTATGTTATGATTATGTTTAATTGTTGTTGGAACCTGGTTTAGAAGCATGCTAGGTTGGTGGTGTAAATTGCGGTGTTTGAGTTATAGATTGATTATTATTAATTGGAGTTGTGTTTCATATATTTTCGTCGTGCATGTTTGTTAATGATGGTTTATTGTTGGGTTAATTTGGTTTTGTTAATTAGTAGGTATGGGACTATTGATTAATGAATATATATAAAAAAAAAACAGGTCGTGTCTTTTCAAATACGTTGTTGTAAATTTCGACGACGGATGCTTCATCTACAAGAAAATCTTTCACTTCATATTGACTACATGCATTATGTTTAACTTTTTAGACATACAATTTTGTTTAAAACCACATTATATAAACAAAACAAATTTAATTTAAATACTATAAAATCAAGGAACTCAACGTGTTATTTAATTTAGGGAATAAATTATAAATAGTTAATCATAAAAGATATTATATTGATTACATTAAAATACAACTAATTACTTTATAAGATCAAAATTAAAAGTACCTTAAAACAACTTTGATGAGGTGTAAAATATAGAGGTTTTTTTTATATATGATCTATAGATTATTGAATTTTGTTAATTACACCTAAAGTTTCTTTTTCTTTGGTTTTTAAACTTTTCATTTTGTAGACCAATCCAAGAAACTTTCTAATGAAAACTTTGTTGTCCACTTTAAATACTAGATTTTTCTTTGTTGTGTATTTCTGTAGTTATAACTTTTAGGTGTGTGATTTTGTCCACTTTAAATACTAGATTTTTCTTTCTTTCTTTTTTGTTAGAATTAGATTTTTGTATCATAAGTTACTTTGTTGGTTCAAAAAAAAAAAGAAACACTCATTTCTTGTATAAATACACAATGTCTTCCTGCCTTCTCTTATATCTTTCATCTCTAGTGCAACTTCTTCTCATACCAAAACATGGCTTCTAGTTCTAGTTCACGGAAAAAGAAAGCTTCTGGTTTGTTCTTTCTTCCTTGTTGTCATTATTCATGTTTCTTCACAAGGTTGTTCGAGTCACATTTTATTATGTTCTCAATTAAATTGTATCCAAAAACACAATATTCTAGATCTGACCATCATAATAAGATGGTCGAGCTTTGATTAGTATTATTTTTTCATGCATCCAATTTTCACTACCAATATTTTTTTTTAAAATGCACCCAACATTAATTGAGAAGACTTTATTTCTTAACACTCCTAATTTGATTATAAATACACAATTCCTTCCCCTTAAAATCTCCATCTCTAATCTAGTGCAATCAAAAGTTTTCAAAAGAAGTGATTGTTTCATCAAAACATGGCTTCTAGTATGTATTTTCCTTAATTGATGATTGTTATTCATGATTTTTTTCCTGTAGTTACATCTCTGTTTGGAATTGATACATTACAATTTTACAATATGTACAGGTACTGCCAATGCTTTTGCAGACACTATGATAGTTTCACCAACAAGAATTCACAAGGCAACTATACTCTGGCTACATGACATCGGGGAGAATGGCCGAGAGTAACACAATCTGACAATCAAATACTTTACTATTCATTATACTTTTGATTTATTTTTGTTTGAAGTCTTGTACATACTATTTTTTTCCCTTAGCTTTTTGTATTAAATTTCATTTCTTATGAGCTCACTCTATATGTCTATTCTTTCTGCATGCAGCTCAGCTACGTTTGTACGTAAATTGAATCTTCCAAATGTAAGAATCCATGCACATGTCAATTTAGCCATAAATCTGAATATATATATTAGCCAAACAGAAGTTTCTAATTTGAAGTTATGATTTTTATGCATAGGTAAAATGGATTTGTCCGACTGCTCCAACACGTCCCGTTACTTCCTTGGGTGGATTCCAAACTACTGCTTGTAAGATATATTTAATTGGCTTTAAACTTCAGAAAGACACTAGTTCTATTTAATGTGATCTTCTAAAATTTTAATTATAAACTAATAACATTGCATATAAAATATTTTCGATGAATTAGGGTGCGATGTCATGGGAATTTCTGAGAACATGGCAGACGATATGGTTTCTTTAAATTCTACAGCTGGGTTTGTTGTTAACCTTCTGAAAGATGAACCAGGCAATGGTAACCCATAATCATCATCTACACATAACATGTTTAGTTTTATAATATATATGCATCAAACTTTATATATCAAATCTATTAATTCAATTGGTTTTTGATAGTCATGATAGGACTAGGAGGTATCGGCATGGGTGCAGCGGTAGCTCTCTACTTTGCAACTTCTTATATCACTAGATGGGAGCAAACCATAAGACGACTAAGAACTATTGTAGGGATCAACGGATGGCTTCCTGCTTGGAGGTTAGCTCGCTTTAAACCATAATATTACTACCTGTTAGAAAACTTATGTTACACAAACTTTCATTTAAATATGGAAACCCTACTCAAATCTTGCAGAAACTTCCGCCGCAACCCAAGTCTTGCTCCTTCCCTACAAATCTCACTTACACATGGAACTTGTATGTGTATATTGTCATCTACATATCTACTTTATGATTTATATATCAATCGCGAGATGATACTGATTCTTCTTTGCCCTTTTTTTCCTTGTGTGTGTCACAGCTGATGCTATAGTTCCCTTCCAAATTGGAAACAGATGTTGTGACACTCTTCGCAGGGCTGGATTTCCAGTCACATTCACACCATATGAAGGGTATCTAAACATGAATTAACATTCACACCTTATTTTGTATGAATCTAATTTTGGGGTTATACCTTGTGCAGGGATCATCATGCAAACATTCCCCAAGTAATCAATGGTGTTCGCATGTGGCTCACAATGAACCTCCATCTCTAGGGTCAATGCTCACCATTGCGTAGAGAAAGAAAATGGAGAGCAAAATGATTATCCAATATACTATATATATATATATATATAATAGCATATTATTTTTATTAAGTTTCTCCTTATTTGTTCATAATCAATAATATTGGGAACCTTTAAATAACTAAAATTTATTTTTCCATTTTATGTTATAATTTATCTTCTATTTTTTTTGTATAACTCTTGTCTAGTAAAATCTGGCAAATTAATTTCGCAATGCTCCTTTAAAGTCTTAGGTCGTATAGTAGTCATATAATAGTTCTAATCAAGTATATGAGAGTATATGCCTGTACATTAAAGGTACATTAATTAACATAAAACATTTTTCGAGTATATGCCTGTACATTAAAGATAGTTCTAATCAAGTTTTTAAATCAATTGGAAGGTTTTAAAGTCTTTGGTCGTAGTCATCCTATTTCTAATTCTTTTGGTTCTTCAATTCTGCTTCTGCAAAAGCTTCTCCAGCTACTTCTGTTTCTTCTGCTATCTGTTCTCTTTACTCCTTTCTTTCTGCTCTCTCACCTTCTCCTTCCATTCCATAGATATTCGATCACTGAACGCCATATTGTCCCTTTCTACGTCTTGCCCTCTCAACAAATCATCCACAAATTGTCATTCGCCAACAATTTCTTCGTTTGATTTCGTGCACTCAATCTCACTAACATCAACCAATTCGACAAAACGCAAAAAAAAAAAAAAAAAAAAAAATCTAGATATTGTTTTTTTTTGAAAAAAAAGGATTCGAACCCGTGACCTTAGACTATTTATGGGAGGTTTAACACCACTTTGCCGCTTAACAACTTTAAAATCTAGATATTGTTTAAGATAAAATAGTCCATCAAACTCAAAACTGGCTGGATCCAAGGAAGCATTGATGATCAAAATTAATTTCAGCTTAATATTTAGCACTACCTATTGTCTTCTTGACTCATATTTTATTTCTTTCGCTCGGTGTGGTCTTAATTTTTGCAGAATATTCAGAGAGATATATATGGTGCCGTTCATATTTAACTATATAAGAAATAAACAAAAGTATATTTTCTATTTTTGTTGTTTGGTTTTTCCTTTTCTCGAAACATATAGATATTGTGCAGCAACTCGAAACATATATCTATTACACAAATGTTTGCTTTACGTATGGCAAAATCAGACAGCGAAATATGTATATTTAATTTCTACAAGACTAACGTTGATATACAAAACATATAAATTTAATCGTTGTTTGTTGACCTGCATGCCTTCAAGTTCTTTTATTTTATGCTTAATTATATCGGCGTCGCTTCTCTTTGAATGACTGTAAATGGTATGCAGTCCCGGCCCAAAACAAATAAGGGCCCTAGGGCAAAAAAAAATTTGGACTCTCTAAATATGAATTTTTTTTTTTTCCTTACTAACATAAAATATAAAAAATTGGGCCTTTTATTCTAACTTTTTCTACTAAAAACGGGCCTCTGTGTTTAGGGAAAAAAAATTTGAGTCCTTTAACACTAAAAAAAAAATAAAACAAAAACAAAATTGGACCCTATTTTTCCTTTAAAATTTTTTTTTGCCTCACGACTCTTTGGCCGTCGCCCCTCTGCCCTACCCATCTGGGCCGGGCCTGATGGTATGCATGCATATTTTACTATGATTAAGTCGATAGAATCACCTCGTCCATGTCTAGATTGAGCTGTTTGAAATACTACTTTACGTACAATTTAGATGTCACAGCTGATAATATAGTTTCCTTCCCATTTGGAAACAAATGTCTTGACGCTCTTTGCATGGCTGGATTTCCAGTTACAGTCACACCAAACGAAAGGTATCTAATCATAAATTAATTTAAACTTTTTTATTAATAAATAATAAATATAAGCTAGTGATTTGGTGGTTTTGATTTTTCTTTTAGGTATTTTAATTAATATTTTGGCCTAAAATCAACTTTTAATATAGAAAAACAGATTCTGATAAAAAAAAAATTTGATGAATATTATATTATATTAATTACATGTAAACACAACTAATTACTTTATAAGATCAAAGTTAAAGGTACCTTTAAAAAACTTTGATGAGGTTTCAAATATAGATGTTTTCTTTTCTTTTATTTACATGATCTACAGATTAATGATTTGTGTTAATTACACCTAAAGTTTCTTTTTCTTTGGTTTTGAAGCTTTTCATTTTGTAGACCAATCCAACAAATACTAAATAATTTTTTTTAATTAGTTTAAATAAATTATGCCTCCAGTGAAACTTGATTATGAAAATTAGTTATAACTTTTAGGTGTCTCTGATCTTGTCAACTTTTAATACTAAGAGTTTTAATTTCTTTCTTTCTTTTTTGTTAAAATTAGATTTTCTGTCATAAGGTTCTTCTGTTGGTTTAAAAGTTAAAAAAGAAGAAGGAAACTCTCATTTCTTGTATAAATACACAATGTCTTCCCTTGCCTTCTCTTATATTTTTCATCTCTAGTGCAACTTCTTCTCATATCAAAACATGGCTTCTGGTTCTGGCTCAAGAAAAAAGAAAGCTTCTGGTTCAAAAGAAAAGAAAAAAGTGCCTTCTGGTTTGTTTTTTTTCCTTGTTGACATTATTCATGTTTCTTTCACAGTTACCAAATTTTTTTCACAGTTTATTCACACACACATATATGTATAACCTATCTATGCAGGTAGTGGAAACGCTAGTGACAAAAAATATGGACAAACCTACAATGTTAGGCCGTCAGGCGTTCATAAAGCCACTATAGTCTGGCTACACGACGTCGGGTTCACTGGCTACTGGTAGACAACAATCTTGGCTATTTGTTTTCAACAATTCTTGCATCCTCGTTTAAAAAAAAAAACATGATTGAAACTACTTCAACTTTTAACTCATTTTTTGGGGTCCTTTTTTAGTAGAATGTTAAAATTTTCATGATCAACTTATTTTGAAACGATCTATAGTTTTTTTGGTGAATTGTTTTATGTATATAAATAAATATTTGTGGTGTAGCAAAGAATGATGATATAAAGTTCGTTTTCATTCAAAATTTTACATTTAAATTATAATTGTTTTGGTAAAATTTCGTACTTATTCGATCTCACTATTATACATATGCAGCTCACTTCCGGCTCTGCAAAATTTCAGCCATCCCAATGTACGGATCCATTAACATGCATGTTTTACAAAAAAACAAAGATATACATACATGTTACACCATGCATGAACTTTACATTTACATGGAATTTTAATTTAAAGTTTCTAATCAAAATTAATGATTTGGCATAGATAAAATGGATTTGTCCGACTGCTCCTATGCGTCGTGTTACCTCCTTGGGTGGGGAGGTAACTAATGCATGTAAGATTAGTTGTGGTTTTAAATTCAAATTGAAAAAAAAAATGATTTAATGTCGCTAAAATAATACAAGAACTGAAAACTAATAGCATTTTATTTGTACAACCCTTTATGATGAATCAGGGTGCGACATCACTAAAGTTTCTGAGAACATGCATGATGATTTTGAAAATTTAAATGATGTAAACTCATATATTACCGAGCTTTTATCTTCTGAACCAAATAATGGTAATTTGGAATTTTCTAGACTTGAAATGCATAGTTAAGACTACATATATGGTATCCATCAAATGTATATATGATTAAGTAACTAATTAATATGTTATAATGAGGTTTTTGGTAGTGAAAAAAGGAGTAGGAGGAATTGGCTTGGGTGCAGCACAAGCTCTCTACTATACGAGTTGTTATGCGTTTGGATGGGTTCCCATTTGCCCACATATTGTTATAGGGATCAATGGTTGGCTTCCTGGCTGGAGGTATAACTAGCCTGCCTTTTCAAGCTCTCTTCTATCACTTTTCACAAATTTATAAACCTTATATATATTAATGGAAAACCAAACTCAATCTTGCAGGAACTTAGAATACAATATGAATAATGCTAATTTTGGTACTGCAAATCGTGCTGCATCATCACGACTCTTACTTATGCATGGAACTTGTAAGTGAAAGTGAAACAAGTATACATATATAATAGTAGTAGATACTATTAACTATACTTCATAACTAGAGGATGGCCCGTGCTTTCGCACGGATGATGTTTTTAAACTAAAGATATAATTGGATTTGTATTAATATTTGGTATTCAATAGTATAGGATAAACATAATAGTCTTGTATATTTTAATTTTAATTCTATAGAGTTAAATCGCGTGTTGATTTGTATATTTTAACTGTATATAAAGTAAATAATATATACAATAGTAATTAGGTCTGGTTTTAATATAACTACGTATATATTATATTTTCCCTAAAACCGTTAAATTTATCAATCACGGACATTACCTCAACGGTGTATAAGAAAAGGGAAAATGCAATCTTTTAATATAATTTACAAAAATTGTATATCGGTTGAAAGATAACATAAGTGATATATAACAATTTCATAAATTTGGATAATCTATTTATGAATACCTTATGAATAAAATTTACCTATTGGCAAAAGTATATGATAAACTAATCTGCGAAAATGTTAACAAAAAAGGAAAATATGATAAATATTGTAATTGTAAACAATTTTAATATAAAATTTAATCTTTAATCTACTTGAAATAAGGTAAATTAAATGTTTTAAGTTTAATAATGTACGAAATATTTAAATTTAGAAATATTAATGAAAAACATAAAAAAACTGAGATTTTTCA